GCTTAAGTGTGCATCATCTTAAACAAATTACTTAACTGAGCCACATTTTAATTTGATTTCAGCCTCCGAGCTCCTTTGGTAGATGGGTATCATCATGCCTCATCTTGGCCAGGAAGTTCTCCTTATCGTTCTTCAAAACTTAACTTTTCTCATATGGAACCAATTCAGTTATTTAAATGAAGGCATGCGTGAATTCACTGTTCTGATAATTTTAAGCCTTCTTCGTGCCATCTGGGTTGCAGTTGAGGACTTCCCTTTTTTGTATCTCTCTTGCCTAAGGGTTTTGAGTCAAAAACCTGTGCACAGAATTAGTCAGGAGTTCACCAAAAGTCTAGATTCGTCATGCGAATAAGTAAATTAAGAGCATATAATGTTGTTTCACTTTGGATATCGTGCTCTTTTGGCTGTGTTGTGTTTTTTTTTATTTTGGATTTGTGGTCGAAAGTTCCAAATACGATTTGCTCCCAGATGCCAGGGGACTCCAGTGGTTTATGCTCACACAAAACGGAAAATGCAATAAGGAATGAAATATTTATCAGATAAGACATCGAGCCTGGCAGCCTGGTAGCACTTTCCATAAATTGCCCTGGCAAGTCACGGGACGTTCTGTTGGTCGGTGTTCAAGACTCGGAAATAGTCCACTTAAGAAATTACTCATTGACATTCATTGGCAGTCAGCTTGGATTTATGCATGTCGCTGCAGCGTGCATGCATTAGGCAGATAAAAAGCTAAAGGGATGGTTTAGTTTTTCCCCAATTTAGTTGTTTCCAGGCAAGGTAAAACTCCTTCATGAATTCAACAGCAATGGATTAAACAATTTTGAACATTGTTTTTATTTTTTTACATGAATGCATAAACTTATAACTTGTTAAATGCATAATAAGCATATTGTCATCACTACATCTTTCTTCCATTAAAGAAACATCTTCCCCCTTGCACATTCTGTTTATTTTGGGGGTTTTTTCACTTCAGTTTTTCAGTTTTCACTTCTGCTTTTTTTCAGAAAAGGTGAATGTCATGATATAAAAATGTGATTTGATAATCTGAGCTCTGTGTTCATGTACTGACATTGATATTCATTATAACCAGATGGGCTTCTTTCTTAAATAAACGTATTTATTTATACATCCGTTTTAATTCATCTTCAGTGTGAAAATTAGGACTGTGTGTTGTTGGGAAATTTGTCACGATGAACGTGATTTTTCTTTTATGCGTCTTCCTCCTTCTCGCATTCAGAGCAATCCTTTCCGCTCTGATACTTGTTGCCATGCCAACAGAGTGACCAGCTTTGTACGATATCACAGTTGTTCAGTCAGCAACCGTTGTGACAGTTCCTTGTTTTTTTATCCTTCTCTTTTTTAGAGAGAACATACTTGGCAACCAAGCATGCTCCATCAGTTATGTTCCATTCATTTCACCCCCTGTTTTCTGGTCGTAGCCAGGCTCCAGTCTGTACCGCCCACGGACCACCTGCTGCACCGGTCTGCACTTCCATCTATCACTCTGACGAATGATTGGCTCTGACGGTGTATTAATGTGTCTCAAATGTGGGTTAAAACCTGCATGCAGAAAAGGAATTTGGGATTTTATTTTTGAAGCATTACTGTACATTTTTTGTCAGCAGCCTCCATATGTACAGTGCAAAGCAGAGCGTGTGTGTGTGTGCGTTTGATGGCGTGAGGGTGAAAAAAAGCAAAATCTCTCTTTTACAATTCCAGCTCACTGTGCTGTGACCCTGGCTCAAGCAGGATGTGGCTAATGAGAACTATAAATATTCTGGAGCAGACCTAGCTCACACTCACAAGACCACGCACACACACACACACACACACACACACACATGCACACGCACACACACACACACACACACACACACACACACACACACACACACACACACACACCCACACACACACACACACACATGCACACGCACACACACACACCACACACACACACACACACACACACACACACACACACACACACACACACACACACACACACATGCACCAGTTCAGTCTGCTGCTCCTCTCATAAGAGGGGGAGGAAGAAAGTGTTGGAAATTTCTTCAGAAGTCTGATGCAGACCACCTACCCACAACTCAACCCACACTGGCCACTGTTTGCCAGGAGGAGACCAACGCGCCTTCCAGCCTCAAACGACAGCAACGTGTGGGCGTTCAGACGGGTCGGTCAATAACTGCGACGGCGTGATGAGCAACGGTGATTCAGAGAGAGGGAGGGGGAGAACAGAGAGTCGTGGGTGGAGTGGAGAGGAACCAGAGCGTACAGAGAAAGAGAAAGGCTGAAGAATTAATTAAGGCGTCCCTGTTTGAACAAACACAGGAGCATCATTTCAAAAAGGCAGAATGAGACTCTCGCAGTTTAATAACCCTCCTCATAATTCGTGACACTGTATTTACAAAAGAATATCTAATAATACTACATACATGGTATAGCTTTTGTTTCAAAGCAGGAACCCAAGTTGCAGGTAGTGTGCTGGTTGTTAGGGTTACACTACTGCCATATAAACTGTTTATCACTAGAGCAATTTAGAGCTACTTCCATCCTCAGCCAGATTGCAGTGGGCTGCTTAACAGACATATTACAGCTGGAGCTGTAAATGTGGAACCACAACCCCATTGTATAGTTAGAATTAACCAACATAAATTCACCTCAAACCAGCATAGATTCACCTGGCCACATGGTACTGATACATGCTGATGCATCTTCATCACTCCGCAAGTGTATTAAGCATTTTTCCTCCATTAATGGATCAGTTATGTCCAACTGTTCTGTGTGTGCTACACACACATTTAAGATAATCTACCCCTAACTAAGAACCTGCTTAAATCAAAAATGAGGGTTTTTGTTTGTACTTTTGGATATGAATTCTGACACTGGAGATTAAGAAGATGGATTAATTGTATTTTCTTTTTTGTCAAGCTGACACGTTTGTCTGAGGAAAAATGCAAAAAAAAAAAAATCAAATAAAAAAGCAAAGAAGCAGGGTGCAGCTTTTCTGTGAAACCTTGTGACTGACTGCATGGGCTCAGCGCCCCTCCTCCAGTGGAACACACTGATGTGTTGTTGAGACGAGATGCAGTGAGGGCCAGGAGCCAGTCACGACCAAGTAAATTTTGTGGACGCAACAAGACAGGAGAAAAAGTTCGTCATCTGCTCGTCCATGCAGGATTTTGTTTTATTACAGTAAATTGATTGTTACTTATCCTCGAACTGACACTTTTGTTTGGAAGTGGTAAACTTGTGTGCCTTTTCTTTTCTTCAGAACACAGGCTCTGCTTTTGACAGTTTGCATAGCTTCTCAGTTTAATCTGATATAAACTTCTGCAGGCATGTAATTGAATTAGTATGATACAGACGGTCTTTATTTGTCTTCAGCATCCCAATTACAGAAGCTTTTAAAGTGATTGCAGATCTTGATCAAACGATCTCATCCTATCTGTAATGCATGGAGGCTCAAATCACAAAAAGCTTACTTGGTTACTGACAAGGGAGATTGATTTTCATTGGTCAGGGATGAGTGAGGCAACTCCATTGGTCCGCAGGACATTTAGCTGCAGCCACTTCACCGTTCCTCTTCTGTTCTCTACCTCTGTCCCAAAATGACTCCATTCCCCTGCCAAGCACCAAGAATCTTTTTTATACTGTTCTCATTGTAACAGTATAAAACAAACACAATGTTTGAACTGCAAACATTGTGTTGTTTGCAGTTCAAAGCTAATTTGATTTGCTTTGAACTGTGGCTGATATTTAACAATTAAATCCATATAAGCTTTCTGTAAATCTGAAACCGAGACAACAGAACGGGGAAGTGTGATCTCTCCTTTACACATCCAGCGCATATTTAGCTGGACTCTGTCAGTTGTGCTGACCTGAAGCTGTGACCAGTTTGCAAACTCAAGAAGGGCGCAAAAACAAAAGCACACTTTTCATATCCCAGCTATCAGCGCCTCCTAATTCCCATCCTCAAAAAATATTCTTCAGATAATATTCTTTAAATTACTATTACTTCTATTCCACGTCTTCTTGTCAGGACACTTTGTGTTTCCCCCACAAGCAGTGAATTTCCAAGTTGGCTCAAGCTGTACTGCAGCCTGTAAAGCTCACATCCGTCTGCTCCACTCAGATGCTCCTCATGGGCCATTTCCAAATTACCCATCACCCATTGGAATGCGTCCCTGAGATTTTTTGCGCCCCTCCCCCTCCGCCCTTTGGCTCGGCTGTGCATTGCATTATAGACTGAAAGAGGGAGAAAGTTGGCATGCCATCAAGAAAGAAGCCAGAACCCAGAAAAAGACAAATGCCCTTGGACTTCTCTCTGCCTCTCTCTCTCTCTCTGCTTGTACATATTGAAAGTGAAAACCTTCGGTCGTCATCAGATGATGTCCCAAAGAATTTGTAGTTAGCAGCATGTGTGAACAGGTCTCTTTGCTTAATCATCTGCTTCTGTCATCAAAAAAAGAAGAAAATCATACCCCGTCTCAATTCCCAAAGGGAGCACTAAAGGCAGGTCTATTGCTGCTTCAAAGGCTGCTGCGCCAAACTCTGCCCATCAACGATTTATAGGGATCAACTTTTCATGACCAACACATTTAAGTTCAAATGGATTTTGCTTTACACACTCATCTAGAAAAAAGCTAGATCATTGAAAAGCTCAGACAAACTGACTGGTGGTCTCTGCGTCCTAATTGGCTTTGGGATCCTGCTGCAGGATGATGGGACCTGACATTAGAGGCCTATGGCGAAACATGTTTTCATTTACATATCCTAGAGCCTCTCTTTGAGGTTAACTCCCTCATGCCTTCTTCCCTTGAGCATTGAGAGAGAACAGAGAGCTCAGGCAAGGCCACTGTGTCCACCACCAAAAATAGTTCTGGTGGGTTGGCACACTCTGATAAAGGTCAAATAAACATTAATCCAGTTTTTGTTTTCATTTGGATTATTCTTTTTTTAAGAAATGAAAAACAAATGTGTTCACATAGTTCAGCTTTATTGTGATCAGAAGTTTACTGTACAGCCATTCTGCTCTGTAAATACACCAGCCCAAATGAGTCTTTGAACACAAAAATATCATAACCGGTGAAAAACAAAACAACAAAACAAAAACAAACAATGCAGCTGTCTGAAATCAAATGTCAGATTTACCTCCTATCTAATAAAACCTCTAATGGAAAGCTTATCGACCGCTAAGTCACTTAAATTGGTCAGTTATGCTCAATGATGAAGATTTATTACACAAAATGATTGTGTAATAAATCTTCATCACTGAGCATAATATTCATGTTAGGTTTTTAAAAGAAACCTGGTTGAATGAAAACAGGGAGACACCTGTGATATTTCAGTCACTGGCTCCGAGTTACAATTTTCTTAGCAAAAAATGTAATTATATGTAAAAGACAAAGGATTTTGTGTCATTAACGTGGGATATACATTATAATTGTGCACCAGAAGAAGCCAGACATCAATTAGAATAGACTTATCTATTTTCCCAGAATTTTCTAATCTAATACTTCCATCAAATTGTAAAACTGATTTCATTTCAGTAAAGACTAAAAGCCTTGATTATTTCTAATCTGGATTAGAACTGTTTGTTACTTATTTATCTTCTGCTACTGCAATTTACTGGTTGTCATTTGTTTAATTCTGTTATTATGCAGATCACTTTGAACTGCGTTGCTCCAGAATGTGTCAGCCATGGTAAATAGCATCATGGTAAATGGTATCCGGAACAGCAGCCAGCTTGACGTCAATTTCAGAGACCTTGGCTATATTTAGAGATTCGCTGACAATCATTTTCTAAGGTGTGTCTCTGTCTGTATGTTGGCTGTTCATCATGTGGAGTAAAACAAGTTTTGGAGAGTATCATTTCGTTTTGTTTCCACACCCATCTGTCTTGTGCGTAGTCAGTATGGACGTTGAAATCTCCCTCAATGGGTTTTGACTTTGATTCCCAAATATTTAAGAGTCTGATTTTTCCAGGAAGGGACAAAGAACTCAATTAGAAACGACCTGACAGAGCTAATGTTTAATAAAGCAATGTAATGTTAATGTTTAATAAAGCAGCGACTGATATGCTGATATTTCTTCAGTTGAAGGTTGAACCTGATAAAATATAGATGCCAGGTTTGAAGGCTGACTCGAGCGTTGACCTTCTATTATCATGTTCCTGTTACTGCAGTGGAATGTTACAGCATTTTCCCCTCAGGAGTAATCTCCTATCTGTAATGTATGTTGATTAGGACTGTTTAATTACTGATTTCGACATCCACGTCGATAGACTTCGACGTGGAGCAAACGTAAACAAAACAAAAAAAACCAATATGACTCGGCACATAAAACCCTGTTAACTGTCACCCTCAAAAACACTTACATGTAAGTCAGTGGGTGCATGAAGGCACTGGCGTCGTCATGACAGTTAAGGGGTTAAACAGCCAACACAAGCACACTCTGAACTTGATGCATTCATGCATCTTTGGCAGAAAGGAGACTTTGATAAACAGTTTTTGATTGACTATATGAGTGCATTACAGATCTGTTGTTACGCCAACTTTGGCACAAGGAGCTTACAGAAAACTGCAAAAACTCTGAAAACACTGAGTTCTTTTTAATCGACGCCAAAACCCCATCGGCTTGGAGCCGCCTTTAATTAATCATAAAATGGAAAATCCTAAACTGTAATCTGTGTTTAAATGTGTCATCATTTTAATTTGAATCCGCAAAGCACCTCCATTATGGACAGTGCTCAGGCTTCTATTGCTGACTCCGGGGGATGTGATCTGACCATCCAAAAATGACGTCTTTCAGGAGTTTCCTGACAGGGCACGAATCTCCACATGTCCAAAACTCACTGAGTGCAGTCTTTCATACAAGTGCCAGAGTGTGCTCTCAAATTAAAATAAGTTGCCAGTTCAAATACAAGGCTATGTATTCGGAATAGAGAAAAGTATTTAGAAAATCAGACAAGCTTGAATCTGGATCTGCTGAATCTGTTGTTGTTTTTTTTAGCAACAGAGGTGTGTAAAAAGCTGTTTTGGTGACTTTACAATGGAAATTGACATTCTACAGGATTGTAATATGTAACATGACATAAAGGATGACTTTTACCATATGAACTTTTGTACTTCACGCAAACCAAAGTAATTAAGCCGTACAAAAGATAAAATGAGTTAATTTTCCTTATGTTGTTAATCTATAATCTCAGTACCACGGATAAGACAGTCGTGGACGTTTTTTCATAACTGAAGAGGTTAAGCTCTGAGCAGAAGAGGCCTGAGATAAAGCTGTCCAGCTTCTGCCGACATCTTTAAAAAGATTCATGTCCCATAAAAGCCAAGCGTGCAGACAGGGCTGCGGAAAGCAGAGTGGATTTCCATGAACGCTTACAGTCCTCAGAAGCAGAACAGTGTGTTTGGCTGAGTTACTGCGCAAGATAAAGCAAATCCTCCTCTACAGTAGATGTGTTTCAGTTTGACATTTCTCCTTAAGGATGAGGGGAGCTCTCAGGGGAAAGCAATAACAAAATAAAATTCCTTGTCGACCGGAAAAATCCTAAGCATTTTATCTCTGCTTTCTATGCGGTGCTCTGCTCTCTCACCCCAGGCGGTGCCAGGGACATTGCGCGGAAATGGGAGGGAGACCTTGACACAGAACATTGAGGATGACTGGCAAGAAGCCATTGATGTGGTCAATTCAACCTTTATATGTAATACGCTCAGAGAGACACAGTATAAAATACTACATCGTCTACATATAACACCCTTTATACTGAATAAGATGGATCGCCAACTCTCTCCCTTATGCAATAAATGTGGAAGGGAAGTTGGAACATATTATCATTATTTCTGGCAATGCAAATTAATTAAACGATTCTGGAGTGCAATCTCTAAAGAGCTGAGTGATGTGTTTCATGTAAAGATCAGCTGTGACCCAGGTCTGTTCCTTCTTGGCCTCCCCTCAAAATCAGTCACTCTGGCACAATCACACTTCAAACTTTGTGACAAATTATTGCTTCTGGCTAGAAAATGCATTTTAATCAATTGGATTAAGGATAAACCACCAACTGTCACACAGTGGTATAGAAAATATTTAGGGTTCTCCCCCATGAAAGGATTAGTGCAGTTATTAGGGGTAATGAGAAATATTTCATTGATATGTGGTCTCCTGTGCTTAACTATTTACCTAAAGAGCTGATGCAACTTGTGATGAGAGGTCAGAATCCCATAAAGTGGAAGGTCTCACCAGCACCTATCTAAAGAGCACCATCCGCTTGTCTTATGTATCTTTTCTCTTCTTTCTTTGATTGTCCGGCTAGACATAATTGTGTGGTTGTCAGGGTTTAAATATGTCTGCGAATGTTTGCTGACCACTGTAGGCATGATTCAATGTGAATGTGACATTGTACAGCGGCCTCTTTTTTTTTAAATTTTTGTATTTTATTTTATTCTTATTTTGTTTTATTTTTTTATTTTTATTTTATTTATTTATTTAATTTTTTTGGGGGGGAGGGGGGAGGTGTTTTTGTTTCTCTTCCTTATCATATACTTATGTAATATGATAGACAACACAGTGTACAATGTTATATTTCCTATGTTTGTGAAACACAAAACTAATAAAAATGTTTAAACAAAAAAAAAGAAAACAAATATTTTTTTTGGTAGATTTTTTTTCTTTTTATTTTATTCTGGTGTTGAAGTTTTACATGGCTATGGTTGATTATTTATTATTAAATTTTTTGGGCAGTAAACAGTCAAGCTCAAACAAAACCTGTAGTTTTGTTTTTACATGCTCAAGCTGAGTTGCTGACAAAATAGGTGAAAGTCAAAGTGGTATGAAGGGGAAAAAAAAATCTTTGAAAAGTGGATCTCCTTCCTCATTTTACTTCATTGTAGGTGAAGACAAAGAAGAAGAAAAAAAGAGCATTTACATGTGAAATAATTAAAAAAAATGTCATTGAGATGTCATGAGTGGAAGCTGAATCCCACAAAACGACTCATCGCACTTGGGCTTTACTGCATCTGACATGATCAGACAAATTTGTTTCAACACAATTTATCATAGCACAGAAACTAAAATTGTAAGGTTATGTATGCTAAATTACAATAAACCTGATTTTACAATTTATTGAAAGAGTAAGCCATTATTAAGCCACATGGTGAACAATTTGCCAGTCTACATCTTGTTAAGAAATGGACAAAATTGAAAAACTGGAAATAAAAATGATTCTAAGAAGAAAAAAAAGCTATAGGGATAGCGCGATAATGATGTTTGGCTAGTGATGTCTCAATCAGCCTCAACATAACGGCGTCAATACAAGTTGATGTACGTAGTTTGCGACCCTAAAATTGAAACTTGTACTGTGATGTTTGCTTTAATGTTTTCTTCTCCCAAACTCCTGTGACAATATCTAAACAGACTAAACTAAATTTGTATTACTGTCTAATCATCTCATAAAAAAATATTTTTTTTCTTGTCATAATATTACAAATCTCTTGTGTGGGGTTTTTGTTTAAAGCCACTGCATCAAACTAATGTATGCAGGTATGAGTATTTTGTCTTGTGTGAATGTAATTCTGTTCATCCGTCCTCTGTGCACACATTAATCTGTCGAGTGACAGGGAGGAACTGCAGTAGGCAACAGGCTGGTGTTACTAAAATGTCTTTTAATGTAAGTAAGCAGGTTAGATGACTTGTGAAAAATATTCTTACGTAAAACAAACCCTCCACCCCCAAAAAAACCCCCTCACTTGTGGGGACATTCACATCAGCCAGGCGCAATGTCTAATTTTCAAGAAGTCAGCATCCTTGATCAGCGTCAGTCAGTAACAGTGAGATTAAATATTCCTTTGAGACCGATAAAGAACATTACAATTTAGAATCCTTGCCTAAAACATCCCCGTCGTCGTACACTGTATTCAATGTTATCAGACTCAGCTGAAACGCCTTGATTTGCTTCAAACAATGCAAATCTCGAGACTGAATACACAAAGTCTTAAGGAAAGCCTCTAGGTAGCAGAACAATTAAGCAGTAAGATTATATTACACACTTTACAGTAAAAACAGGCAATTTTGCCGTCGGAAAACCCCACCTGCTGGTGATGCACTGGAATGCAGTTAAAACAAGAAATACTTAATCCAAGACTTGCCAACTAGCTACATATGAAAACGTCCAAAAACTTCTCTGTAAAATTGCATTAGTTCTAAAAAGAACTGTATGCTAATGTGAGATGGTTGTTCGCAACAGCCGTGTTATTATTTAACAGTCAGCCAGCACAGCAACTAATAAATAAATCATCTCTAAAGCTTCAAATATTTGCCAAAATGAGCCGTTTTTAAGCATTTCTTCACAACTCGGCACGCAGCAACTAAATTCCAGTAATAATGTACTGCCACTGTTTCTTTAAATAGTTGAACATGTGTTGTTCATACGGGTTTTTTAGCACATCAAAATGAAATAAAACCCCCCCAAACCATCTAGTTTGATCACCGTTTCAAATAATTCAAAAATCACAGATTTTGCTATGTGAATTGCAAAGCTCACGGTGTAGCGAGAGAAGCATACCTGTGATTTATTTCGACTGAAGCTCAACTAATTGTCAGACCTAAAACTGATTTGCCCTTTTTTCACAAGACCAAAATTTACGTCACATTTTTTCCACTTCACGTTTCCACAAAAAGATGAAGCAGGCAGGCAGGTGTGTTCACTTGTTCTGGCTGACTTTTACCGACAGCTTGGAGTGAAGAAAGAAAAAAAGAAAGGATGAAAATTGATGGCCGAAAAGCGCCTAGCCATTAAAAAGTCATCATGCTTAGTACTTACAATTAAACTGTCACAGATCATTCGTTCACAATACTGGGCAGAAGACAACAAATAAAGATGCAGATTAAAAAAAAAACAAAACAACAGTCAAACAATCATAGAAGTTGAATGGGCTGCAGTAAAAACTGCAGGATTTTTCAGTTTGCTTCTTTGTTTTGGAATAATTCACATTAAAGTTAAATTTACATAGCAAATGAGGCTTGCAACCTCAAACAAAAGAAAGTCAAACACACATGCTCGACATTAGTTACACACTGTCCTTTTTAAAGAAATAGTCTTTCATTAAAAAAAGAAGTCCACTTTTCTTCTCATTATTGTGAGTCTGAGATCATTGGTCATGCTAACTTGGCATTTCAGGCTGACAAGCAAGGCAGTACAGAAAACAGAACGTAAATCTATCAGTGCAATTAGTCAGAGGAACATTCACTAAAACAAAAAAAAAAAAGAAAAAAGATAAATACATAAAAGGAAAACCACATGATGCACTCTGATGGTACTCTGCAAGGAAATTTTTTCAGGGTAAATATAATTTTTGGTGTCAAAAACGTCTATATTTTAAAGGCTAAAAAACACCAAAAAGAAAAAGAAAAAGAAAAAGAAAGAAATAATGTGACTTATTAGTATTACAGCTATATCCTGTTTTACACAATCACAGCAGAATTTTGCTTACAGAAAGAATTTCTCTGTTGTGAAAAACGCTAGCCAGAAGCAGGGAGGAATTTAAATCTACCTGAATGATTGCAGATTTTGAGTTATAAAAAATAGCACTTTTTTTCTCATCAGCAGTTATTTGCCATTGTGGCAACTTACTGGTTGAATGAGTTTGCCACAGAGCGCTTTTAAATCCTGAGCTAGGGTGCCAGTGAGTTGGTTCTCCAAGCTAATTCTTAGACAACATTTCTCCTGACTTTCCTTTTGTCCATGGAAACACTGACCAAAAATATGCTGCCAATAAATTTGCCTTTGAGTTTTATAATTTAGTTCTCTTTCTGGGCGGCCATTTTCCAATGTCTCAAACTCCAGGATTAGCAATATCACTTTTTGGCAACTTTTAGTTTGGACACAAATGAGCATGAAAAAGAAAACATTTCAAATATGACGATCAACTCCCCGTAATGTAGAGAGCGGCATGTTTGTTAAAGTCATTGATTTCTCTTTACAAAGCCACAAACATCTTATGATAACCGATTTTCACGACAACACTGAAAACTGAAAAAGTGAGCATCACCAACTGGATCGCGTCAGTCACATTAGTGAGAAGGTCTCAGGGAATTCTCCTCTTATTCATCTAAAAGGCACTGGACCTTATTCAGCTTTACAGATGGAGCACATAAGAACATAAAGCACTAAACTTACGAAGATGTTTGGTACCTCCAAACGTGGACTATGGTTTACATCCTGTATTCCCCATGCAGGATGTGAACCATATCCTGCATGGGGAATGCAGAGTTCTCAATCGTTGCGCCATCACCGGTATGGCACAAAAGCATATACAAGAGTACATTTTTAAGAAAAAAAAAACCCCGAAATAGAACAAAACAACAAAAAAAAGACACCGTCAAATAAATAAATAACGCAGGTTTTGCGTGTATACAAAAAATATGTCGGTTTGATTTGATTTTGAAGGCAAAATGAAACCACAATATCAATAACCAAGTGCGAAAGATTCACTATTTATTCAACAAGGTTTCCTACGTCGAATGAAAAAAAGCAACACTGACTGAAAGCCCACTTTGTGCCATTGAGTCCTCTTCATTCGTCGGTGCCTTCTTTATATCAGTGTCTCCTCATTTCAGAGCACTAGCAGCACAAGGACTGGGCGGGAGAGTATGAAAGAGTCCACTGTTCCCTTGGTTTGGCACTTGACAAGTACAGTCCTGCTACCATGGGGCCGACTTCCAGGAAGGCTCTCTACAGAAGTGGATTAGATTAAACTAAGGAGCCTGCTTTTGCTGAGTTGCACTAAAAAACGGTAATCACCGTTAAATCACCGAGTGAAAGCTGAGGTACCCATGTGTTTTGGCAGGAAAGTATCGCCCCCACCCCCTTGATGTACGACAAACACAATTCACATTAAAACCTAAAGAAAAGTAATAATAATAATAACAATGATAATAAAAACATCACGTTTGGCAAACAAAGACATGATACACAACAGCAGGTTTTCCCTTTTAGATTGAAGGTTTAAAATGCAACATGGCTTAACACTCTAAGGGAGTCAGTTCTGACATTGTAAAACGGCTCGTTTTGGAATCAATCAGTTTGAGAAAAACACTGAGATTACACCCTGAAAAAATAACAACCTTTTTTTACCCCTTGCTCAATTAAATTCCACTTCTTTTCAAGCCACTAGCAACCGCAACGCCATTATCGCTCCAATGTTTGTTGTGTTTCAGCAGCCTTTTCAGTGCGTGCTATTATTCCCTTTGGCCCTTCGGTCCCTCTGTCTCCTTACATCAGAAACTCAGATGGGGGTTGGTCCAGCTGTGTCAGTCAAGAGGAAAATCCATCCCCCTTTTCTCTTTCGCAGTTGAGGTTTCCCGTGGAAACACACAAACATGCACACACACTGTTCCACAGATGAGGGCAGGTGCATGACAAGTTTTGGGACTGTATGGAAACGTCGTGTGTGTCAGGGAGTAGACATTTTTATCATGAATAGGAATAAAATTGGAGAAAACCAGGTAAAGAAAGCACATTTAGTTGCTATATGGCCCTTTATTCTCACAAGTGTCTGATATTTTGCAATCCAACCCTCTCCTCCTGCTCACCATAACATAGTGAATCTGCTCTAACTCCCATCATTCTGAGGCTGACAGCTTCCCACCTTAATTCGCAGCGTGCCGCTTTTGTGGAGGTGCCACAGCTGGACGAACTCCTCCGGCATGGCGTGGAACCACTTACCGGGCAGGATGTTGTCATAGTAATGGTGGCTGATGGGCTGCCCGTCCAGCCCGATGGAGAATGGCCAAAAGCCGTAAACTGTCACCTCGTCGCACATCCCCAGGGCCAGGCTGACCAGGAAGAGGCCCGTGGAGAGACGCTTGGCATGAACGCCGCGCGCTTTCCAGAATTTGCCTACGTTGCGCAGGAAGTCGGGGTTGGCGAAGAGCATGGTGAGGTTGGAGGGGGAGTCCGTGATGGCATAGTACGCCCGGAGCGACGGGTCGGTGCCGGGCCTCATGGAGAACGCTGGCATGTAGATGAAGCTGGAGCCGTATGCCTTCGAATAGTCCAAGAAAGCTTTTCTGGACCAGAGAAGACCTTGGAATCTGAAGAAGAACAGTGAGAATTGCTCTAAATACATCAGTGCAGTAAGTCAGATTAACAGCGTGGAGTAAGTGAAGCGATGCGCAGTTAAACATAAAATAGTTTTATGTGGACTAAGAACAAAATTTGATCCTGTGTTTTTATTTAATTAAGCCTTCAAACTATTAAAAGCTTAAACTAGTCACCATTTAATAAAAAAATGTTTTTTATAGTGGCTGGCCTACAACTACTAATTCAAGAGCTCATGAAAAGAAAACCTAGACTATATATCTACTGTACTGCAGGTCTGATCATGATGCCAGTTCATCTGCGTGAGCTAAAGCGCAAGCAGGCCACTGTAGAAAATCCCAGCAAGTTTTCTTTCCTCTGAATCACTCAAAAAAATGAACAGCAACAAATTGTATATTTTGGAGTGTCCTAGACAAAGTCTACACTTAAAATGAGATTAAGACACCGAGGCGTAACCTTAAACATGCATGAAAGCCCTGTGGATAAATCAACTTCAACAGTGGACTTATACTTCAGTTGGTGGTTTGGGATTTTAAAAAAAATCATAATTACATACTTTCATTATTATGTTAAACAAATTAACTTCTCATGATTGGCTCCTGTTGACACGCTATGTCCACTAGCTTCTATAATATAACCTCTTGCAGCTTTAATTTTCCATCTGCCTCTGAGCGAACCTCGAGATCTCCTTTCATAATATAAACACATCGGTTCATTTGTGAACACAAGCATCACTAATAACCTTCAGTACATTTCCACAGTCAGACTGACGAGCAAACCGCTTTACCTTTTCTCAATGATGCTTGGGTTGGCGGTGACCAGATGGGTTTTGTTTCCCACATCCTCCAAATATTCCTTCGTAAGTGGTGGAAGGTTGCACCTAGAAGAGAACAAGCCCAATAATGAGAATTATTTTAATGCAATCCAACATAAAGACACAGATTTAGTCATATAAGTAAGGAAACTAAATGTTAATATGGGCGTCAGTTTGTAAACACGTTTATATTTATATACATATCCAAAGCTTCTTTCTACAAAAACAAAAAGCAATTTTTTAGAAATGTCTCCTTCCACAATCAGTGAAAATTGACCCAAAATGTTACAGTAACTTTGCCAGGCTTGTGTGTGGTGATGCAACATGTTCATAAAAATATGAATATAGGCCTGTTGTATGCTATTGTTTACATCCGGAAATCTCTCAGGAGCTCGACACTGGAGGGCAAAAAGAAAATTATTTTATTTTCCATCCATAGCCACGCTGCCATGGCAGAACATTTCCGTTAATTAAAGATGGAGATGTTGGTATCATTAATTTTGTGTACCGCAGCACAGCAAAGGGAAAGTAGTGCAGAAATACAATTGAATAACATCTAAAAACCACTCGTTTTCTTTTTTCCTCTCTCTCTGTGTCATCTACACGATACACAGATCAGTAGCTATAGCAACAGTCCCACTTATAGAGCGAAAAACACAATAATTTGCAACACAGAGAACAGAAAGAGCGTCGAGTCTATTACAGCACTGTGTTTTCAGGCTGTACGTTTATTTTGCATTTATTAATAAGTAATTTATTATTAATAGGTCCAAACACAGCAGTGCTTGGTTAGCTGATTTAAACACCTCCTCTACTGATGATGATGTGTCAGTGTGTTTGTGAGAGTCGGCCTTTTTTTTTTTTTTTTTACTTTTTTTTTTAATAAAAAAGAATTCAGAGAAACAATAAACTCAAACTGCGGAGGTGGCAGCTGGTAGTGGCACTTCCATTGTCAACTGCCACAGATCATTAATATTGAATACATATTGAAAACATATTGAAAACCTTGGACCTTGTTATTCAGTTGTCATAGTGATAATTAAAAGCAAGGCATTGCGTCCCTTTCTCTTCTATGCCACATGCAGATTTAGGAGTTAGGGTGCTACGTTGACATCTTGGCAGTCAACACCTGGAAGTTACGGTTGCCCTCCAGCAGGGTGCAACATACGAAAGGGTTCAATGACCTTTCACACATGGGCGCCCGTTTCAACATGTCTATGGAGCTGTTTCTCAAAAATCTGCCCGGTGCAGTTTATGGTTGATGCAGCTTGTGTGTGAAATTATAGTAGTGACCTTATTGGTTTCATGATAATTCTCTATATTTAATTAGTGAATTAAAACCCCTCCCTAGGTTAAGGGGACTGATTGCTGGGTGATACCTATTAAGGCATTGATTAATTCCCAAAACATTTTGATCAAATATCTCAAAAGAGCCCTGAAATTGCAGGGCTACCACTAAGTCCAGGGTACAGTGTGGCTCAGAAAGAAACTGAGTTACATGACGCAAACTTGCGTCCTGTAATTTACAGTATAGCACTGCTGACTTCACACTTGTTGCTCCAGGAAGTTGCAAAACAGAAATGTGCATGTACTGCTCAGCTGTGAAAGTTAGACACAGCTGGCAGTGAGTGAAAGGTTGAGTGCGTTTTGCAAATGCCACACCCTATTCAAGCTTTGAAGGAGACGTGTGCTCTACTAGCTACTGGGGATTTTTCTTTGTTCCTTTGCATCTCTCCATCCATACCGGGCATTCAAATGTGTGTCTTGTGCAAAATTGTAGTGACATTTTTGACCAAAAATCAAACCCAGATGATTGAGAATACTGCAGGTCTCACACGGACCAAACGAGGCTGCATAGATTCACGACACGCAGGACAACAGATTTCAAATGTCTGATTTAGTTTCATTATCCATGAACAATAAATAAAAGGATAAAATTCAAACAAGCATCACAGTAAAGTGTTATAATGCAGGGTGCCTGGTCTGACTGCCAACCCACCCTTTCTCTGACATGTCTTTCAGACAACTGGAAACTATATGGGAGTCACAAACGATCCAACTATTTTATCGTCACTTCGAAACAAACTGGTAACCTGCTGTCATTACAGCTGTAGCATGGGAGGAGTTTCTGCTCCAGGAAGAGAGTGAAAAAATAACTATCAACACTAGCGACTTGCAAAACACCTTAAATAGCTTCTTTTTTTGAACAATGCAGACAATAAAGTTATGGACTTGGATCAGCTTACTGAGGGTTTAAGTGATGCCGGTGCTTTAAATTGACCTTCTGCGTAATTCAGGATTTTTACTTGTTTATAGTTTTATTTGTGTCTTGACTCATAAAGCCACAGTTAATAACAGACCAAGATAACCGAAATAGAAAATTAAGTTAATAAATTATGACTTATTTTGTCGTGGGAACTAAAGCCATCAAAACAACCTGGGAAAAACCACACTTCTTGTTAAGTTATAATTTTGCTGAGACTATTTAGCTCAAGTTGACTTCAATTTTACTGCCAGTCATGCAGAATCGAGAAATCACTTAAACGGAACCTGACTTACAAGATAAATATCTGAAAAAGCAACACCTTATGGCGCCGTGCAGAGAAAGTCAAGATTAGACGAGAAACAAACTTGAAGAAACTTTTAGAAAAAGTTGATGGAGAAGGCAAAAATTTAAACAGCATCCTAAAACTTCCCAAAAAAACAAAACATTTCAACACTTTCTTCAGGTGGTTTTTGGATTTTCCAGAAAAAATAAGTGTTATTGTGCAAAAGGGGAGAAGTAAACACATTTCAAAAAGGGATTTGTGTACCTAGATGTTAGACTGTCATATTTCTTGTTCTCCCTTAACATTAGTTTGATTTTAAGTATGAACAAACTAAGAACAACTACACAGGGTAAGGGGGCGCTGTACAGTTTCAATAAATATCCCCAGATCCCAAACCTACAGCTCTCGTTCCCTTTTGTTGTTATTCTTATGTGCTCTTAGCCCAGTGAATCTGTTCCGCTCTAGTCGTCTCATCATCTCACCGCAGGATGAAGTCAGCCTGGTCAATGTCCTGTCCGCACTTGCTGTGCCTAAGGATACCGCCGTTGCCCACCACAGCACACTTCTTCAGGGGCTTCAGAGGAGCAGTCTGGAGGTGAACAAGAAACGGTTTTGTTAGCAGGCAACGTGTTGATTTGATTCACAAAACAAGCATTCATTTTCTCTAAGCAGCAGCCTGACATTGAGGTCATTATACATTTGAGCATGTGCTAAAACTCGTGCTAAAATTCCCTCAAAAGCCCCGGACTCCTGAAAGACAAATCACAGAAGAGGTATGAAGGGGAGAGATTTCCGAAAACGAGCTGGGGGCATGCAACCCATGAACCCGACGCTGTCTCTGATCTAACCTCCGGGAACAAACTAGAACAAAGTCCATATTATGTGTGGACTTTGATCTAATTATCGCCTGATCTAATTATCAGGCGCCGACGAGAGGCACCATGTCTCTAAATTAATCTACCATTGTAAAAAAGTTAGTAAATGTACCCTCTAAAGGCCCTTTTCTTAAATATGTTAAATGTTCCACTAGTCTAGTAATATAACCAGACCTCTGCTGGCTTTGAGAATAACAAAAAAGCAGATCCAAAACATCTCTGGAGAAAATAAGAATTAGACGCTCTCCTAAATGACCTTAAAATGACATAAAAAAAAAATTGAAACAGGCAAAAGAAACAAGCAAAAACATAAAATGCAGTCTGCACCACTTTTCCAAGTATATACTGTTCATTTACCTAAAGGCTTCAATCAGACACAGAAAAGGAAGAGGGAGAGACAAGTGTTTTAGATCTTACACTTCGAGGGCATGGCGGGGAAAAAGACATCTCCATCACGAGCTCCTAAACCCGCTCTGAATTTTCTTTATCAGGGATCGTTATCAGCTTCTAAGGGGAAGCGACAAACCAGCTGCAAACACACAGCTTCTAAATCTTTTCAACACAAAGGAGTCTTCTATCTCTGTATATATAAGGTTTCAGGCGCATTTCCCGTATCTCTGTGTCACAAACTTCGACCGTTAACCTTCGGGTGTTTCCCTGTCAGGCCAGCTTTCAGAGTGGCTGGTATCTTCTTCCTGCAGATATCTCTCACAAAGCACACGCTCCAGAAGTATTGTATAAAATCTCACATTCTTTAAATATAATGATTAGTATTTATATTGGTAATTCCATCAATCACGTAACCACAAAGCAACTGACATCATAAAGGTGAGCTGTTGGAGAAATGTCTTCAACCACTTCATTGGGAAAGAATCATATTATTTTAAACTTGTGACTTTTACACCAGCAAAACTGTGGAAAATGATATACATACATACATACATACATACATACATACATACATACATACATACATACATACATACATACATACATACATACATACATACATACATACATACATACATACATCATACATACATACATACATACATACATACATACATACATACATACATACATACATACATACATACATACATACATACATACATACATACATACATACATACATACATATATATATATAACATACTGGATGCAGGAAAGGCCATGCTTCTGCAGCTTTGACTGTAAATTCAAGGTAAGGATGATGACACATGGCGACATTAACTGTCCTTCCTCTCTCAGTGAACTTGCAAGAGAAATCACGCACAGGATGTATGTGGGTCTCTTTGAAACCATTTTGAAGGAAGTGGATCGACGCCTTTGCTGGTGACTTTCATTTGCATCCATGCAGACGAAATATTCACAATGCAGGTCACCGATAAGATTCAAGCCTCTCACAACTGGAAAGTTGAAGCATGCTGATAAGGTTCTAATGTTCACAATCACATCAATGAGTACGACAGAAGAAAAGATCATAGGATTCTGCTCTGCAGCGAGATAAGCCTCATGTACATAAGCGCTGTTTGAACCATCTTACTAACCTGTAATTACATGCCAAGATGCTTTAAGGCACATTCCCGAGCAGATTCAGTAGCAGCTGCCAGCGCTATGCAGCATGGCTGTTTGTCTGTGTTCATACCCACAATCACAGCAGTGGTAGTTTACTGTATTTAAAAAAAAAGAGTGTGGGACTCAGAGCATCATCTGCCTCACATAACTACCAGTTCTCTTCCCTCTGAAAAACACACTGCAGGTCGTAGAGGTTCACACAGGACATGCAGTACAAGGGCTAAAAATAGAGCTGGCGTAACCTCTATTTGGGAGAGTCACTGGAGTTGAAACCAAAGAAAGATGATTACCTTTCATTAAGCACGTACACACTTTCGAGATTGCATATGCTAAATATGGAATGACTGTTTCTTTAAATCATAGAGGCATGGTGTCTCATACAGAGTTTTTATACCTAATCTCTGAGAATTTATATTTAATCCTTTTTTTTTTACAAATCTGTCAATAATCATGTGCCTGGTGAATTTAAACTCCACTCTCCAAATAAATAAATTTATTTCTTTCTGCAACAGGCCGGGTTGTTTAGATAGCTTTTTCATTCTAGCAATAAAGGTTACGGTGATGGCACATGATTCTGGAATTTGTTCATGTTATCTCCGTCTGATATGAAAAACTAATTAGATCAATTATGGCATAAAAAAAATAAACTGAAGAATTATTTGAAGGGGCAAATGTGAATGCTTTTTGTATAAGGTATAAGACCCTTGTAGAAATGAAAGACAATTCTTTTTACCAAGATGATAACGCTCAAACCAGTCCCTAAGAAACCACTCTTTAAGGAAAAAGGAATGAAATAATTTTAGAGAAGCAATTTAAGCTGCAAATTCATCGTAATGATGCTCTGGACAAATTGTAAATAAAGAGAAGCGTATTCAGAGTCAGTAAGAAAAATATTAAAAATTGACAGCTGAAGTCAAAATTATATCATAAATTCTAAAATCTGTTTTAAAATGTTACTCCATAAACTTTTGGAGTAAGGTTAAACATTGTGTGACTGTAGTCACATAACGGAGGTACAGATGAGTGTGAAGTAAAAACTGGTGTGAACTGACAGGGAGGGGATTTGGTTGTGGGTAGATTAGCTAGTGAAACCAAAAACAACTAAACCAACATGGTTTCATTTCTTATGCACGGAAAAAAGTAAGATTTTCATTTTAGACTGTCAATACTGAGTGAGTGAGTTTTGCATATATAATGCTCTACATTGCATTAAACCCTTTAGCCAAATGTATGGATTTAATAAATGTCTTGTGTGTGATTTTATGTTCTGGTTTGTGGCTCATTTTTGCGTCCTGCCTGAAATATCTAAAACCCGGGTAGAGAGACGTGTTTTTGAAGCAATGGTTGTTTCTGTCTCAACAGTGTGTTAGAGGTTCCAAGTCCACAGCATTAACAAACATGGAGATGGCTAAAAGATCATTTCTTTCAGCTCTGAAAAGACAAGAGTAGCATGGTGTGGGCTTGTTGAATATTTCAGTGTTTCCCAACCCTGGTCCTCAAGGCACACTGACCTGCATGTTGGAGATGTTTCCCTGATTGCAATTCAGAAAAAGCCTGTTAATCAGCCATGTCAGCCGAAGAAGGAAAATGCCTAAAACACGCAGGGCAGTTTGCCTTGAGACCCCGGGTTGAAAAACATTTAAATATTCCACGGCACATAAAGTGAATATCGGAAGTTTATACTCTTATGTCAAGATGCCATTTTTTTCCATGATTTAAATTCAAGAACAAGATACTGCTTCACAAGATTTTCCCCCCATGAAAAACATGAAACATATTTTGGGTTACAGATAACTCCGATGTAATTCCCAAAAACATGAACTCATGAGAAAAGGAGCAAGGGGCAGGAGAGGGGGCAGTAGGGCAACTACAAACTGTTGAGGTTTTTTTTTATTGTTTTTTTGTAATTACCCTACAACCAATGGGACAAGAGACAGGCAGGAAAATATGTCTTATTATATATATAGTTATATATATATATATATATATATATATATATATATATATATATATATATATATATATAATATGTCTTATGGTTTTATGGTTTGTGAAACCTAACAAACCATAAAACCAAGAAAGCAGGAAATGGGAAGCAGGACGCAGGGCAACAAAACAATGACTAAAATACAGAGACAAAAGAGCAAGAAGGAAGTCAGAATCAGAAACAAAATGTGTGAAAATGAACTACATAACAATAAACAAGCGATTTGCTTGGAAAGAAAATACTAAACATAAACAAGCTGCAGTAGCTTGATTGCATTCAATCACATCCATATTGTGAACGAATTTAATATTGGGTTCTAGCATTCATTTTTGTTGTTGTACACTCCTGCCATCAATTACAAATGATCTAATTAACCAGTTTTTGCATTCTGATAGGTATTTTTTCATCCAGTAAATGATGTCATTGTTGTATATTGTATCCTGCTTTCGTAACAACCTCATTTCAGAACATTAGCAAAGACAACTGCCCCTTTTTACCCATTGAGTCACTTCCATCAACTTCATCTTCAGTAGCCGCTGGCATTCTCTGTAGAACTTTAAAAACAAAACTTGTACCAAGATAATAACCAGGAGCATTTAATTAGCAGAATAATCTCTGCTGATCATTTCTGCACTCAGAGTTTTCATCTCTGAGTGCAGAAATGAAGACATTCTGGTAAGGCACTGCTTACTCTGATTTAGACATTTTGAGATATTATTTTTATAAAAAAAAAAAAAAAGCGATAAGAATGATTCAAACAAAGTCCAGCAGTGAAATAAAGAGTGTTTTGTCACTATTTGGTCACAGTAATTGCATTTAACTCTACTTTCAAATGTATCAATATTTGCTGATGTACCTTGATTGAACAGTGGGGAATAAAGGTTCGATAACTTTATTGAAAAAGTTATTTGTAGCAACTGTTACTACTGTTGTGAGTAGCAACAGGCTCCTCACAATATGGACCGTTTTAGGGGTATTAGTTGGAATTTATTGTGACAATATTCAATCAAAGATCTTATCATGATAAGAAATGTATCATGATAATTGCAAAAAATTCCCACCCCTACTCTACGCTGACTCAGACAGACCAGGTCACTTTCTCACTGCTTTCACATTTTGTATGTATTCACCCGCAGCTTCCAATGTTTGCATGACTGGACAGGCACTGCTAACGACTTCAAATTAGGGTCAGATATTCATCATGGTCCTCAACCGGTACAATGAGTGCAGCTATGCATCTGGAGTGCCTCAACTGTGTCTCAGACCCAGTTCAGCATCCTGTGGCTAAAAGGAAAACCATAAACATTTGTGGTACTTCCTCGTCATCAGTTTATTACCCACAGATGCATCTGCACACTCTGACCCACATAGCTGTGAATGCAGGGTGAAAACTACTCAGATGGCAAAAATAATTAATTAATTACAAAATTAAGAGATTTGTCAAATTCTTAATGTTGATTTTCGATCCCTAAAAAGTTTTTAGGGTGACACCTCGGGTGCTCGTCTACCCGCTGCCCCCCGCGGCTTCATATTGACTCTCTCTCACGCAAAGAGAATGTGCGAGTAATCCTCTTCCCCTCAAGAGGATGACTGTCCTCCAAGGGGAGGAAGGGAGCAAGGGAGGGGTGAGTATCCCTGAGAAAACATATCATCCTCACATGGCAGCAAGTGTGTGGAGAAACTACCTCAAAATGTATCTACTCCAAGTTACTAATGTGTCCATCAGGACAAATGGTGGGAAAAGAAATATTTTACATGTGACCTAAACATGCAACCCTGGGAAAAAAAAAAAAAAAATGAGTGCACCGCATGTAAATGCTGGCTTACCTGCACAAAAACCGAATACGTCTTGTTGTTGACAGTGTGCGAGTAGTAATACTCTCCATCGTACCACAGGACCTTGCCAATGGGAGCGTTCTCCTTCGTCACTGCAAACATCCACCTCGGATTGCAACATTCTGTCAGCAGATTCCTGTGCAGGAAAGAAGGGAGGGTCAGTCTGGCCTCTAGAGACCTCTGGATACTCTGATTTAAACTGTGCCACAAGCAGCCGCATCAATGAGTTATGGTTGCAAGCGAAACAGCCAGTTGTCTTCTAATCGTCGCTGAAAGGACTGTTGATGAGGTGGAAACATGATGATACGGCATGTCTGATTGGTTAAAATGCACATCTCCAATACTAACACCACTGGCCTGCCATGATGGAGGTCAACATAAAAAAGTACATTTAGGATTAGGATGTCTTGCAAGACCAGGAAATAATAAAAATGTATGATTTAATATTTAGTTGACTGATGCTCTGAATGCTGTAGGCATGTTCTTTTCATATTCTTCTCATTACACTTAGCTGCAACATTACTTAAATTGTTAATGCGACTCTTCCTGAATTTAAAATATGTAATGACCTTCCCTCTTCTTTTCCCCGCTCTAAAACTCCCTCCCCCCCAAAAAGTCATGATGTGTCGCTTTTCGACTTCTATATACCAGCAGACATACCGATTATCTATTTAAAGCTCCATCCACACAGAGGCCCAGTGCAGGGTGAACATCCTCATTTATTGGCTGGCCTTTGTTCAGTTTTGATTCTGTGAACTGACTGGCTTCAATAAGATAGATTAAAGGTTGAAATTTAAAAAGTACAGGTCAGAAGTTTTAAAACATCCCCAGTCGTTCCAGTTTTTTATTTTATTTTAATTGACATTCAAGTCCGATGTAGCGTGAAATGTTACAAAGGTAAGTGCTGAACTTCCAAGGGTTAAAACAAACAAAAGAAAAAAGGTTGAGTTGTCCCAAACTGAACAATAATGTACATTTCAGAAATACATAAAAAGGTGGATAAAGCTTTAAAAGCAGATGATGATCATTCTCTAAAGATTCAATCCAGAGTCCAGAGTTGTTTCCTATGCCATCACATGGACCACAGGCTGACAGGAAGTGAGCTGTCTGACACAAAAAAAGGCAGGAAACAAACTTCTAACTGCGACCAGCTTCTTAGACAGATCACAGACGGACGGCTTCAATTAAAGCTTCACAGTGGTCGTAGTAAACAAATCATAGTTTCAACATTAAAGAGAGGACTTGAGCAGCTGCCATGACAGTTGCAGCAAGTGAGAGGCATTCTGAACCAAAAAGATGGCTTCCACATTCTAGCATGTGCTTGGTTTGTCAAGGGTTCATCCAGCAAGGCAACAATCAAACGGTCCATTTGATTGTTGCCAGAACTAGATAGGAAGGAATCAGAAGATAAGATGAAAACATGAAGTGGTCAGCGCGATCTTTGGATTTGAACCGCATGGAGCTGGTCTGGGGTGAACTGGATGGTAATGTGAAAGCAGAGAAACCCGCAAGTGCCACACATTTATAGGAACTTCTGCCACTAATAAGGGATTTCACTTTCAGAAGACTATTTGAGCTCTGTTGCAGAAAAGAAAGAAAGAAAGAAAGAAAGAAAGAAAGAAAGAAAGAAAGAAAGAAAGAAAGAAAGAAAGAAAGAAAGAAAGAAAGAAAGAAAGAAAGAAAGAAAGAAAGAAAGAAAGAAAGCACAAGTGTGTTCAGCTGTTTTATCTAACAAAGGCGGACACTTTGACTGATTAAAAGATGCAAAGAAATGTTGGTCCAAAACGTAATTCCACAAGTTATTCATTCAGAGATGATTTCATTTCAAAGTGACGTAAATACACAAAAAAAAGGTTCAATTGATTACTGAGAATGGTAAAAATAATTTTGCCATTCACACACACAATATATATATGTAGCCTCTATATATATATATATATATATATATATATATATATATATATATATATATATATATAGTCTATTTCAGTCTTCCTTTCCAAATGTACTTTAGGATAAATAAGCTCTAACGTATTTGAGAGCAAAGGAGAAATGTGAGCCTGGAACCGACCTGTACAGATCGATACCCGTCTGGTTCTTCTTCCACGCGTCTCCCAGTCTCAGCACCTCCTCCACGATCTCTTTGTCGCTGGGAAGTCTGTACGCAGGGAAAACGTAGAACCAGCCGAGCACCAGCACGCACAGAGCGGCCCACACCGACAGCTTAACCCGGCAGCATCGCACCAACATCTTCCCCCTCCGTCTTGGGTCAAAGCAGCGGCAGCAGCAGCAGGAGCGGCGGCGGCGGGAAGAGCGGCGCGTCAGAAACCTTTTGAAAATCAGCGCTGCTCCCCGCGCACCATCCCGACAGGAGCGTGAAGCCGGTGGACAAGCTGCGCGGTCACCCGCGTCGGTCTGGAAGTCCGGCTTTGAATGAGACGGGCTCTGGTTTAAAGGAGAGGCAGATGAGTGTGTCCGCGCGGTGGCTCACGCTCAGCTGCGGGGCTGTGGCGCAGTGTGCGGGGGTTTGTGGGGATCCGGCGCGCTGCTGGACGTGCATCACCACCATCATCTCAGCCACGGTTATTGTGAGGACTCAGACGTGCCCCCCCCTCATCAAGCCCGAGGTTTCTGAAGCATCCCGTTGTGTCCTTGTCGCTCCCCCCTCCTCGACCTTGAGTGCCAAAAAATGCCACCCTTCTGACGGGATCCGGGGTTTTTCCTTGAGGCCCCGGCTGCAGCCTGACATGAAGAGAAGTGTGCGGCCCAGATGAATCCTCCTCCTCTCTAAAGGAGAGCAACCCCCTTCCGATGAGACTTAGTACTTCTTGTAGGGATGGAGGCGCGTAAAGCCGGACGAAGTTGGGGAGGTGGCGAGAAGAATGCGGCTTTCAAAGTAAAAGCATGCGCTCCGACGCCGCGTATTTCAGTCACCACGCTGCTCCCAAAACGAGGCTGTTGCCGGATTCGCGTTCCGGGCGAGAACCATTGAGAACCAACAAGAATCCAGATAAAAAGCCAGTCTTTTAGAAATTGTGGACTACTTTTTGTTTGCTTTCCTTTTTTGTTTCGTTTTTGTTTCCTCCGATTTATGCAAAGCACTTTAAATTGCCATGTTGCTGAAAATGTGCTCTGTAAATATAAGTGCCTTTCCCAGCAGCATTCTTGGTAGTTTGCATTTTTCCATGGGCTCGGAAACAAGTCACATCCATTAGAGTTTATCTTTAGTTCTTGAGATAAAAATCATCCAATTACTGGACCAGCAGAGCCACTGCAGTTACAAATGGCCCCCATGTCTGGTTCACTGCTGGGTTTCTGACCCCTGTGATCATTAGCTTTTAGTTAGTGATTAAAGTTAGTTCAGAAAGCTCAACTTTCATCATCTGACTCAGCCATGCAGAGTGATACGCTTGTTCCTCTGCATGCATTCGGTGAGGAGTTTTTAAAGTGGTCCATCTGGATATTTTTTTAATTGAGTGGCTAGTTTGAGGCCTCAGTGAGGAGAAGGTTGCAAAACGCAGCACCGTTTCATAGCTGCAGCGCATCGACCACTGGATTGAGTTCTTGAGATAAAAGAAATACATTCTCCACAGGGAAACAGTAACTAAAAATATGTTCTCAAAGTAAATGGCAACACCAAAGCTGACATGATGGGAGATCTTCTGCTCTAGCTTGAGCATGAGGGTTGCAAGTTAAGCAGCATTTTGATTTGACTCATGTTTGACTTTGGTTTTATGTTTGACTTTCCTTAAATTTCCTAAGACGCAAAGTCAAATTTCTTTTAAGTTATTTTTGATGGACACGGCGCTTTCATAACTGAAGGCAGCAGTTACTTGATTGTTATAAGATGTCTGGAAAAACACACAATATCACCTTGAGTCCAAATAAAGTTGTGGCTTTGTGTACACTCTGTTCTCATTCAAGGAGTTAAATTTCTTTGTGTGCATGTCAAAAACCAAAAATGAAAAAAAAGAAAACAAAACTATTAAACAAAGATGGATTCATTTGTCTACTACTCCCTATAGAACTAAATAGCTGCATTTGTTTGAATAGCAAATATTAAATTTGATACAATTAAGGATACATACTTTTTTGCATGCTTTCTTATCCATGACAGAATGATTTTATAGGCTATTATTCAGAAAGAAAAATGTGCCTTTTTTTTTTTTTTTTTGCTTGTTTCAAACTAAAAGAAAAAAAAACTGCCTTCACCAGACAAACGTTTAGCCTTTTGAATGGAATAAACATATTCTTAAACTTAAAAAACACAAAGCATTATTACCTGAAAATGACTGCGGACCAAAGCTGTGGTCTTTGGCTTCATGCTTGAGCCTAAACCGTGTTGCGTTCAGGCCCTCTGCTGGCTTTTGTCGGCAATCGCAAAGATGAGGCCAAACCAAACCGACTAGCCACACTAAGTCTCTTCTAAAACAACACTTGATTGTCTCTCTAACCCAGGAATTTCCCCCTGGCTGTCTGCAGCAGCTCAGCTGCTCAGCTGCTGCAGACAGCAGGGAAATCTATTAAAATGTTCTTATATTGTAACTTGCTTGCCAACCAAGGAAATTCAGAGAACATTTCATGGGTTGTCAAGTAGCTGTAACTTTCCCTTTCTTTCTTTTAGAGCAGGTTCTGTGTTGAGACGCGTTTTTAATTTCCATAAGTGCAAGTCAATGCAGGCGTAGAGCGAGAGAGACTAATCTGAACCTTGCAGCTGCCAGTGGAGCTTTCTCTCTGCCAGTGTGTCTTTTGACATTGACGGGTTCCCATACCTAAAGTGTTTCCCGTAGCCTACTTGTCAGGGCAACCCGACAGACAAATAAATAAAAAAATAACAACATTCCAGAATGGCTTAAATGCAACACAGGCTCGTCCGAGAGAGGCGTTGAGAAATACAGGACTCCTGCTGAGATTAATGGCGAGCCAAGAGTCAAGGTTGGAGGGCGGCGAAGGGGATGAGGGGACATGGCAGGCCACTTGGGTGAAGTCATGTCTCAGCTGTTCTCTGCGCTTTGCAGACAGAGGAGTTACAAATCAAAGGCTTGTGCAAAGTCTAAGCTGAAAAGTGTCAGCAGTAGCAAAATTATATCATAATAAAAATATTTTAAAATTTATAGACAGACCAGAAAGTAAATGACAACAGCAAAGTAAAAATTGGCAGTTTTTTGGGTGGGTGGGGGGAATACAAACAGGAGAACAGAATGAAACGCAAAAGAAGAGAAAATAAAAAAAGAAATTCCTAATATAAAAACTAAAGTAGACATGCATAAACACAAAAAGAAACTCTAATGTTACTCATCAACTTAAAGCAACAGCACTTCAACGTGCATCATAAACACACCCTGCCAGCACTGAAGCCTGCTCTCTCTGTTATTTTTGGGAGGCTGCGTCTCGGTGGTGACAGTGGCGGAGTTGGGTTGCGTCAGGAATAGCTCTCCCACCTGCTGAGGTTCGCCGGATAACAGAGCATTTGTTGTTCCATGCAGCTTTTCTCCTTTTGTTGGCCCCGGTGTTGTTCTCTTTCCATCTCCGACACAATACAACTACAAAATGTCTCCAAATAAAAAGAAACTCTGATGAGCTTTAACTTGAAAAATCACAAATGGGACAGGAGAAGGAGAAAACACACCAAATGAGCTCGTCTCATCATACAAACTAATATCTTTAGCTCTCGTTATTGTTTCTAACCTCAACAAGTCTGTTGACTAATAATCTTTTATCACCTCGTGTTCCTCTAAGAAAGCCAGTGCTCAGTTGACCCCAAACACCTTAACGCCCGCATCAGCTTTATTCCGGTGGAAGCTTCTGGAAAGATTAGAAACTCGACGCAGTGATTTACAAACCGTGTCGCAGCTCGGGTCGAGATTAGCGCTTTGAATCTTCGCAATGCCACGAGGAAATGATGAAAGAAGATACGAATAGAAAATACAAAACAAAGGGGTTTGTGATGACAAAGAGGTCAAAGAGCGCCTCGCAGTGAATTCTGAAACGCAGAAAAAACATGTCTCTAATGACTTGATGTTGAAATTATGGGTCATTTTGTCCTCCCAGTTGTTAGCACCCTGTTTATTACTTTATGAAATGACACAAAAATGATGACAGTGAAAGTATGGCATCAGTGGAAGAAAGTTTAAAAAGCACATGAGCGTGTAAACAGCATGTAAAAGATGTGAAAACAAAGACAACAAAATCTGTAACCATTTGGCGTTTGAGATGAAAGTATGCATGCACACACTCACACCGAAGGGCAATTTAAAGTTGCCTAAAAGCCTGAGGGCAACCCGACAAACATGGAGGCGACATCACCAACTCCAAATTGAAAGCCTGGCTTCGAGGCAGCAGTGCTAGGAACATTTCCAAGAACATCTTTTTATATTTGATGCAAAAAATACATATATATTTGATTCAAACTGAGGAGACGGGGTGGGGACATCAATCCCAACCAGATTAATGCAGAAACCCAGGAAGCGCTCGTCTAACACAAATATCACTATCACACATCTTTGTGAGTGAAGGTCCAAGTTCATCTGAAAGGTTGAATTGCAACCTAATGGTTTGAGTGAGAATTTGAAAACATTTGAATTCTTTTCACAACTCAAAGGCTGAAATGTCCAACACTGCCGCCATATTTGTTAAACCTTAGGGTTTATTCCATCTCACTACAATTACCTAACCTGTTTATTGTTATCTGTTAACAAACACTGGCGCCTTGCTTTGGAACCTGTGGTAAAACATTTAGTCTGCTACGACTGCTGTAGGGAGACGTCAGCAGGAAACCTATCCAACTAGTTCTTGGCCTGCATACTTTACAGACAGACCAATACTAATGTGGTTAATTGAGTAAAGAATTAAATGATTTTTGTTTGAAAAGAAATAACACAATTTTTCCTTCACAATATTATACCTTACTATCAAATTTACATACTTAAATACATGTAAATACACCACTTATTTGGTGACCGTGAGTCTGAAAAGGAGTATGATGAAGTTTAACTTATATAATAATACCCCTTCTCCATTCATTCATTAATTGAGAAAATGTACTGTAGTCCTAGTTCTGTTCATTACGAATAAGTTTATTTGAAATTAGTTGCAGCCTTTGCGCTCTGCCATTTTTTTGAGCCGTTGAAAGTACCCCAGACATGTTGGTGCCGTGTTTGTCCCTCTCTTTTCCCAGCAAAGGGTCGTTATTGGAGTTATTGCTGCCATAAACTTTGCATATGTTCTGCTTTTTTTCTTCTTCTTTGTTTCCATAGCAAAGACTCTGGGTGCAGTGTTTGTGTGATTGGTTGTATCTATTTGCTCAATAAAATCACTATGGTTCCTATAGACTCTGTACTCTCTCTCTGTCTTTCTCTCTTTTTTTATTGTCCTAGAAATGACCACATGTTGACTCAGGATGATTGCTTATCACTGAGTCCATCCAGTAGGACATAGATGTTTACCAATTACCGATTTTAGTGAAAAAAAAAACAAGATCTTGGCTCCGCTTTGCATTGGAGCCAATTAGATCGTTTGATTAAGAACAAACAGCTGCATACGAGTTCGCCTTGAGGTGACTGCTTGTTGTGAACTGACTGCAAATAAATTCACTGGAATAAATTTTTGGGATGGGGTGAAGTGTGTTAATGTGGTTAGAAAAGTGAAACACATCATAAACCAGAGGGCAAAGACGATAGCATTAAAGCAGCTCATGATAGATCATTACCCCCTATTTGGCGTTATTACAATGATAGTGAGGAGATATTCCCCTCTGGGTTTCGTGCCAGCACATTCTTCAGACCAGACGTTATATTTACTGTCCGCCCCCTCGGCCCCCCTTTATATAAAAAGCTTTCCATTGTCTGGAGCAGCTGCTGTTTGACTCCACACGTCGGCAAACATCCATTCAAAGGTAAACTTGCTTTGGAGTTTGTTTAAAATGTGACTTAATCTCAACCGATCGCTCGTTTTTGATGGTTATACTTAGTCAAAAGTGTTGCTGGGCTACTTAGGAGAGTAAATCTGGAGCTCTGTATTTAAAAAACAATGACATGCATCACCTTTGCTGCCCACCTGTGTCTGCGTTTTTCACTGCTGACAAGATTTGAAGTGCAACATGTTGGATTTAGCTTAGATGGTCCAAATAACATTTTAATACTGATGCCGGGTTCCAAACTTTTAATGAAGCCAAATACAGAAGAAATATTCTTCTGCATTTGCTTTAATATTTCTGATTTAGACGGTTAATTAAGAGCCTAAATTGGAAATAAGATTTGTTTTGTTTCCTTTCCAGGTGGTTTGGATTTTTTATAGTTACAGGTAAACTGAGGTAATAAAATCCCACTTCTGCTCCCATTTAGTGATTCTCTTATAAACCAAACTGCTCGTGTTTTGATAAGCGGTCTCATATGTCCCGTTTGCCATTTCAGGCCCTCCGCAGACGTGCAGCCATGAATCCCAAGGGGGATAAGGTGAGCCAGCTCTGATCCACTGTGTTAATCCTCCATGCATAGGACAGAGGACACATTGTCCTTACAGACATGGCAAAGATGTGGCGGCGGTTATCTGTCGAAATTGCTATCGGCATCCTTGAGAGCTTTCCGCTTGACTCCGTCCTAATAATAAAGTGTTATCTTTGCACATGCGGCCACAGTGAGGGGTGCTGAGCTCATCAAGGCATTCCCTTCACATGAAGCGGCTCACAGCTGTCTTGATCAGCTTAAACACAAAGTTTCTGGAGTGACAAAAATTATATGATTTTAGTAGAAATGTGAAGATTTTGCCTTTGCACAAATTGTGTCGCGTAACTACATGCATGAATTTCATTCCCCACAGCCGAAGTCGAAGATTTCGGCGTCCCGCAAGCTCTCCCTCAAAGTAAGTTTTCAAATGTTACATTTTGCCCAAATATTTCACATTTTGTCCTTCTAGTCCAGAGATTCTGCAATTTTGATGAATAAATAATGGCATGCAACACGCATAATGCAAATGAAAGCCTGGAAGTGTGCTGTTGTTATTATTTCCATCACATTTCATTGCACTGACAGCTGTTTTTATGGATCTGCAAATCTGTCTCCACTGGATTTGCACAAGCAGGACATCTTTAAAGATGCTGCCGATTTTCAGCCTCGGACATGTTTGAACTTTTCCTACTGAAGGGAAGTCTTCCCACAGCATGATGCTGCCACTACCAGACTGTGACATGGGTGATGAGCAGTGTTAGCTTTCTTGCTAGCTTGGTATTTTTGCACATAGGTCCTGAAAGTTCATGTCTGTCTAATCTAACTGGAAGAGCATCTTCTGTGCTTTTTTATTTCTGCGCAACTTTATCCCTGAGTGGTCGGTTTTGTTTCCTTTGGCTTTATGAGAATTACTCTGAAGGTGTGACAATTAAAAAGGGGAAGCATTTTTTGTAACAATCCACTGCATCAGACCTGGGACCAACATCGTTTCCAACTTTTCTGGTCAGATGTTGCTCCTCCAAAGAGCATGTGAGGATCTGGAGAGGGAGCGGCAGGACCGGGAGGAGGAGAAAGGGCGCTACCTGAAGGAAAAGCTGCCTCCTCTGCAACTGTCTGGTTTGTCGCTGGATGACCTCCAAGTAAGAGGCATTTCTGCCAAATGAAGTTTATTTTTAGACGTATTTATTGGACTGTAACGTGAACGTCTCCCTTTCAGAAACTGTGCAAACAGCTTCATGAAAAAATTGACGTTGTGGATGAAGAGAGGTATGACTGTGAACACAAAGTCAGCAAACACAACAAAGATGTAAGTTCCCACTTTTTCACGTCTTACACACATTTGAAATATTTGTAATTATACATACACTTAGAAAATCTGAGACTGAAAACATAGTTTCTTTTTTTTTAAGTTTGTTGAACTTTCCAATCACCCAGGTTTGCAACCACGTGGCTCCCTGGGAAATTGTCGATCTTCCACGCAATTTCTGCAAATATTTCCCCCCAGAAATGACAACATCAAAACGAATAAATGAAACCATGTGATTCCCAGTCAAATCACATTTAAATTCTTGTATTATTATTATTTCTATGTAAATATCTACATTTTTTTATTATTACTTTTCAATAAATTTAGAAAGAAATGATCATGAAATTGCATTTTATGTTCATGTTCTAATTTGTTAAATTATTCTTTCTTCCTAAATGTAGGAGGTTTTGAGTTTTGAGGTTCTGAATGGAAATAGGAAAAGAGCAAAAAAAAAAATAGAAGTTTTTTATATATAAGTGGAATGGCTCCAAATGCTTTGCTGCAGCAGGAGGTTCACATGTTTTGCTACATTTTGCTTTAGATCCACGAGTTGAAGCTGAAAGTCCAGGATCTAGGAGGCAAGTTTAAAAAGCCCGCCCTCAGGAAGGTGAGGGTCTCAGCAGACGAGATGATGAGAGCTCTGCTGGGCTCCAAACACAAAGGCTCAATGGACCTCAGGGCCAACCTCAAGTCTGTGAAAAAGGAGGACGTCAAGCAGGACAAGGTATGAGTTGCTTCTCCGTTTAATCATAGGCCATTCATCGATATTTCAAGTGTTTTGATTTTTTCTTCAGGTCCTGACCTCCGAAGTGGGCGACTGGCGTAAGAACGTGGAAGCCATGTCGGGCATGGAGGGCCGCAAGAAGATGTTCGATACCGGCGGCGGAGGACAATGAGACGTCGAGGCCAAAGCTGGACAGTCATCGAAGAAAAAGAAAATACGCCAAACTTTCAATGCAACGTTTTAAGACAAGTAGCAACCCAGTATCTCTTTTTATTTTTGTTATGACATTTGGTGAGCAAAGCTGAGCTAAATAAAGAAAGATAACCGTTTCCATATATCTGCAGCTGACTTTATTATGTTTTATGTTCTTGGAGCCCGTCAGTTCACACGAGACACAAAGGGAGGGAAGTGAATGCTGTGATGAATTATAAAAAGGACAATGAATGAATCAGGGAGGGGAGGAAAGACAGGTGTTCCCAGAAATGCGTCAGATTTAAATAGAGGACATGACGGCGACGCGACCTCCATGTGTGCCGTGACTCCCTCAGCAACGGAAAGCAAACATTAAAATGTATTTGAGGAAGATAAAAGAAATAATGAGCTGGAGTGCAGTCCTTTGCTTCCTGTCACCCGGTTGACGTGGCATTTAGCACCTGGGAGTGTCATTTGAAGCGCGACAGCAACGGCGACAGCAGCCATGCTCATGTTCCCAGCAGATGCAGCCTCGGTGGCGTGCCGCATGCCGTCAGGGGCGAGGTGTGAAGCAGTCTGTCTGCGTCCAAGCAGCTGAAAATGTTTTGTGTGCCTAGCAAGAGGATTAAAATACCTCACTGAACCTTTCCACACTGTGACACATAATAAACACAAACCTTCGTCTATTTCATTGGGACGTTTTTTTTTTTTTTTGTAACAACAAAAAGCAGAGCATAACGGGTGAAAAGAAAACTGCAGAAATGCTTTTCGAAGGGTTTTTGTGATTGAAAATCTGAAAAGTGTGGCATGTGTCCTTTTTAATGAGAAATAATATCCAATAAGCTGAATGGAGGATCCACATAATGTTATCATATATCAAAGAAATATGCTAATGTTGTCCCAATAACTGAACATGAACAAAATGTAATAATTGCATTTAAATTTTAAATTATAATTTATTCAACTGCAGTAGCCTGAACTTATAAAATCTCTCCTGGTCAAGATAATCAAAAGTCTGAAGGGTTTAGAGTCGATCTGAAAGCTGAATCTGAGCTCTGAGTTCAGCCAAACATTTTAATGATAAGTGTAAAAAAAAAATAAAATTCTGAACCGATCACAAGTCAGCGAGACTCTGAACGAGGGGATTTCTGAATCTCTCTGCCAAAAGCGAGTCCAGCTCAGAGACGACACTCGCATGAGAATTTTTGTTAGTTACACTTTTGGGATTGTTTTTTACTAATTTTCCTTTTTTCAAAAGAAGAACAAATATTGTGGCAAAACAATTTACTTCTTGCTCCACAAATAAAAAATAAAAAATAAAAAAACGACAAAGAATTCTCCTTGGAGATTTTTGCAAAAGGCTAAGTGGATTTTAGCGTGTGGGTGGGCTGCATTGATTTCCAAGAGGCAATTACCCAGCGCTGAGTTGAGGAAGTTATCTGCTTTAACACATCTCCAATTCTAAAGCAATAAACAGACAGAAATAAGAGATTCTTTCTGAGTGGTTTGTGTCTTGGGGTATTTTTTCTGCCTTTGAAGCCGTTTCATGACTGTGTCATCACCTTCAGCAGAGCCTCCCAGCAGGTAAGGTTTCATCTTCCCCACTGGAGGTAAGGTATCGATAAACCTTCAAAAAGTCTAAATTATTCAGCATTACTTGTTTAAGGAAGGAAATAATTGATTACTTATTCAAAAAGCATGCATGCCAATTTTTATTGTAAATCAACAAGACTCATGTTGTGGTTTGAAGGGATTTTATTAAGCGACCAAACTGCAGAAAGCCTCTAGAGATGAATCTATAAGTGTAATGAAAATAAACAGACTCACTAAAACACTTAGAGGAGTAAATGATAAGACCACTGCAGAGACGAAAAATAAACCAAATGCAAAAGGACGACTTACCAAAGTGAGATCTGACCACAGAAGACACATTTACTCTAAAGCAAGAGAGGCAGAACCAGAAAACAACTAATAAGCCAGAACAGAATTAAACAAAGTATTAAAATGCACAAAAAACTCAAACCACCCAGACAAAGAAAAGGTCACCTCTTTGTTTCAGTCACATACTTTTTTTACTTCAGTTCTATTCTAAAAAAAAAAAAAACTGTGGGTTTACGTTGACGCTGACTTAAAGGAAAACATGGAAACATTTGGGAGTGGAATTCAGACCCACTAGTGTCATCTTTCTCTGTCTCCAGTTATGAATAGTTCTGCTACAGCTGGGAATGTTTGAAAACCGCCTCTATGATTCAACGAGGCTCATGGTTTTGGCGCTTCTGAGCAGCTTACTGCTTCTGTCTCACTCCTCAAGGATTCTTTGTGGCTTTTTAAAATAAGCAGCTCAACATTTCAGACCTCAGTGTGCTGACGCTCAAAGAAACTGCTGACGTTGTAGATTGTGCAAAATACAGACTTTAAAAAGTCTCCTCCCTGAGCACCCGACTCTGACTCGTAAAACGGACTCCGTAAACCACCTTCTTCTCTTTAATCATCATCAACTTCTTTGCTTTGAGGGATTAGAGAGAATCGATGAAGAATAATGAATCTTACCTGGGATGTCGTTCTCTTTCAAGCTAAAGAAAAATCTCGAATCGAACGTGTAGAAAAAAATAATGGTCAAAAGAGACTTGGTTCAAAGATCTGTACACGAAGAACGAATTTTCTTCATGTACTTAGAGCAGAATAAATTATTCAAGAGTAAATTAAAATGCATAAAATTGGAATATTTTGTCTAACTCACATCCCCAACATTGGCAAACATTATCAAGGAGCATATTGATAATGCTCAAAATGCACACCCAACACAGACACATGTTGCAGCAAAAAGAGCATCTCAAAACAAAAATTGCAATTTAGGCAAAAAGCGATGTTTGGCAACAGCTCTTAAAAACTGTTTGTAAAAATCTAAAATGTACAAAAATAGTTTAAGACAATCTAAAAGGTAATTGCATTTTTATTAAAATGTTACATACTTTGTGATGCTCACAGTAGATGTGTTGTGAGAATGAGTTAAGAAATACTTTTTAAGAAAAGACACTGGAAAACAAGCAGAAAAAAATGCTATAAGTATAAAAAAAGTAAGTTTTTCCATCTGTCGGATGGATGGATGGATGGATGGATGGATGGATGGATGGATGGATGGATGGATGGATGGTGGACCTGCTTCTCTCAGCTTTATATGAAGCCACTGACAGCTGCTGAGAGCCATGGTCATTTTCCAGCAAGCCTATAGTAGCAACCAGTTCTCAATGCACAGTCACTGCCTAAAAATAGACACTGATGTGGCCGCATTTACAGAGGCGGAGTGCTCCAGATATGATATCCAAAGTGCATTTATGTCAACACCTCACGACGGAGACGGTGCAGTTTAAAGATCCCGACATGGAATCTATTGATAAAACAATTAGAAGTTGCAACGTAATTTTTTAGTGGATTATTATTTGCTATATCTGGAAACAGGCAGAGATGATGCGACGCTTCAAACAGATCACAAGGCAGAGTCACAGAAAAAAGCCACTTGGTGGCAGCAGACAGCTGCATGGCAGCAGCGATGTTTGCAACCGCAGAGTATCGCTGGAATGTGGTAGCCTCCACATGTTAAAACAAGCTCTACCAAGGCCTTAAAATGCCATTTATCCAACAGGATCGCGTTGTCATAAAATAAATTTAAGGAAAAGTCAGCGAGTAATTGTTTTTGACAAAATCACTTTGGCAACAAGTTTGCAAGAACTTATTGCAAACTTATTGTTTGCAATATGTTTATTCTGCCACCAAGCAAAGCAGGAAATGACAAAGTCATTCTTAAAGTTCAGTGGCAGTGAAAGCAACGAAGGGGAAATGTTGGGGTCACCAAAACGCCACAGCAACCATTAAATGATATCTGAATCTTAACCATCTGTTTGGAAAGCATAAGAGGATGAAGATTTTTTCATGTCACCCTCCAAAGTGTAAATGTGTTAACTTTCTTGAGACAAGTAATTTATCAAACTATATGGTCTTATTGTGTCAGATAAGGCTTATTGTTTGAACCAAGTTGGGGGAAAAAGTATGTTTTTGGTCACATCTCATAGCAAGAAAACCAAAACAATTTCCACAAAATTGCAAATGTTGTCCTAATCTTCAAAATAAATAATGACTCCCATACCAGCTCACTTCGCCAACTCAAAAAGGTCTTGACTTAAAAAGAGAAATCACATTTTGTCTTCAAAGAAAATGCGGAAACAGATTACAACGCTTTCAGCCTGTGCTTGTGCGACCTGATGAAGGATTTTGATTGATGTCATTAATCTTCCAACGCGCGCACAGCATGGGCGGTGTGTTTATTAGCTGTGAGACTGGGTAACACAGAAGGTGGTCTGCTGGCATGACCCACCAACTCGCTGTGAGATCCATGTTTTATTGTGTTTCATCGAGCCTTTACTTACAGTCACGTTCATCGAATTGGTGGCACTCACCTCAAGTTCAGCCACTTCTAGGCTGCTCTGATTCATGGTGCGCTAGGTTGTGCTGCTAATGCAACCTGAACCACAGCTCTGCAATGTATTGAGAGTTGGCAATATTTAACCGATCATAACCAAATTCAAAACATCAACAAAAAAAGACCGAATCCAAAAAGCAACTGGAAATAATCCAGTCTGACATCTCACACTTAAGTTCACATACTACAGCCGTAATGCGACGAGAAAGAAGCTTGTTGGCAAATCCAATCCTCCTCTAGTCTATATTTGGGGGTAATGACACAGAAAAGACGCCTTAGAACTGCATTAATAGCATCAGACTGTTGGATTTAATGGTTTAAACAGAGAGAAAAACACAGCGTCTCCGACACACTCAACCCGAAATGCTCTTCTTAGTCAAGAAGTGTTAATTGGATTTTGCTCCAGGGTTAATTCATAATAACATAAACAGGCAGCAGATAGCAGTGATGGAAAAAGCACATGATAGAGATATATGTAAATAATCCATGTGAGCCATTAGGAAGATTTAGAGCTAAAAGTGAATAATTTGAACCGACAGTGCAGGTTCCCCACCGGGACAGACACATTTAACCACTCCAGCTCCCTCCATAACTCAATCTTTATTAGACACTCAAAGTAGCACTAATCATGGTGAAATAGCTCCATAACATGAGAAAACTTAGTACCTCCGCTGAGAACTGTGACCTTTGAAGATGAATTTACGTTTGAGCTCTGCAAATTTCACAAAATTTGCATTTATTCCCTCTTTCAGTTTGTTCCCTGCAATAATGGTTTTGCTCCCTCGTCTCATTGAACCGACATACAGATATACATCAGTTTCAAATTTGTTCTTTCTTGATTTGTTTTGTTGCACCTCGCCGTGTCAGATTATATCAATCAATCAATTCGATGTGTTCTATTTCATATTCATGGCGATAATCCAGGTAAATATAAAAATGTAGTTTTCAGATGATTATTTCATTGCAGTTGAACATTAACTTCCAGCTATCAGCTTGCAAAATTAAGTTCAACAACACTTGGGCAACTTCTGTGAAGTTATCCTCATTTGACATGAAGATTGTTTGATGATCTGAACCATGTAGAAAATGCCAACAATATCAGAAATTAAATTAAAATGAAGTTGGACTAGATCATTTCTTATTTTCTTAAAAAAAAGAGAGAGAGAGAAAAACCTCCCATGCAGCCAGACACCTCAGACTACACACACAGGTGTTAGTGCACTAAATAGTTTTTAAACTGTAAATGTGGCACTGTTGCTAGGAAAACACTTTAGTCACAAATCATAAACTGCAGATGGGAACCAGATTGGCTTAGAGGACTCTCGGTCTTTGAGTTTGCATCTCCTTTAAAGCCATTTCATGGCTTTCATGGCTGCAGTTCCCAGCAGGCTGGGCTTCATCTCCCCCACCTAGTTCTGGTGAATAATAAAAAATGTGCAGCAACAATATTTATATAATATAACTTATGTAGTTTTAGGAGACCTTTGTAAACAGACTGTTACTTTGCATTGATTATAAAATCCTAATGTACTCTGGACAGGATACTTTTATTAAGAACTTTGAGTACAGTACATTTTAAGTCATCACACAAAATCAATGATTGCTGTTACCCCTGCATAGTCCACACTTTTGTTTCTGTCAGACCTGATAAGCTGAGTTAATCTACCCAATGCTTTTCTCCTGTCTTATTGATTTTCCTTAGGGAAGAGGAGGTTGACGATTATTGGTTTTGGATACTGAAGCCGGCCAGAGGTCAACCAGATGCAACCCTTATGAGAGAATCCTCTTGTTTACTCAAGGGGAAGATTTAAAATGACAACAAAAATAAATCAAGTTTTACTGCAGTTTGATTTTTTTTATTTATTTTTTTCATAAAATATGGGTTCTTACACAGTTTTAAACTCCTAACGATTCTAAGAAAATAGATGGTAACATTTGCAAGTGGAATCCAAACTCTGGAGACAAGACAGAGGGGAAATCCATTGTTGCCTCAGGTCTCCCTGGAGGGTGTGTGTGTGCGTGTGTGTGTGTGTGTGTGTGTGTGTGTGTGTGTGTGTGTGTGTGTGTGTGTGTGTGTGTGTGTGTGTGTGGGTGTGTGTGTGTGTGTGCATGCGAGCTGCCTGCTTCAAATTATTAATAGTTCTGGTGCGATAGAGGATGTTTGGAAATTGCCTCTGTGAAAGAACAAGTTTGCCCAAAGTTGTGGCTTTTAGTCGGCAGAAACAAACACCCTGAGAGCTTCTTTAGCGCTCCTCAAAGGACTCTTCCTGGTTTTTACAATGAGCCACTCAAAATTTTATAAACTGCAGTCCATGCTGACGGCGACAGAAACCGCTGACGAAAGAGAATGAGGGAAATATGCACATTAAAACCAGCTCCCTTTTCACTGCTCAAGTCTCACTCTCTGCCTCCGTAACATATCCTCCTCTCATTTATCTTCATCTTCTCCTTGGCTTTGAGACATCAGAGAGAATCAATACAGAATAATGAATCTTACCTGGACCTCCCTCTGCTGTGCGCTCCATAGAAACAGTCCGCAGTGTGTTTGAGCTTCATTTAGCTCCTGACCGGCGTATCTGTCTGAATCTAGATACTATAATCAGAGTCTTGTGAAACAGACACAGGGGTTCTACGTTTGGGGTTTCTTTTTTTGGGCCTTGCTTTCTTTTTTTGAAACATGCATTTCTGTCTCTCCAAATTTCACACTACTCACTTTTGTCTAAATAATAATGAGAACAAATTCAGCCAGAGAAGCAAAGGCACCGATGGGGAGTGAGCTGATGCCGACGAAAGTCAGCTTTAGACTAAAGGTCTTGAGGACGACAAACTTTTCAACTCGAGTCTTTCGGGCAACAAATGTTTTAAACTGGAACAGGAATATCAGATGGTGCTAAAGTAGGATTTTGATGATGAATCGTTTTCATGTCTGCTCTGGTGAATGACATCCAACCGTGTCAGGGCCCGCTCGCTGCTGGGATAATTGGTGTTAGGGGTGAGCTGCGAGGGGCTAGGGGTGAGATTTCACCCTTGCACCAAAGTCACCATCTGGACCATTTTCTATTTCTACAATCCTATTTGAGAAAACTTTTTTTTTTTTGGCTCCGGGTAGCCTGCATTCTATTTTTCCACTTTATGGTGCTTGTAAAGGAACCGTATGGAGGAAGAGACCCGGCTGCAGCCACACTGGCTCGCCTCTGTGGTCTTAATATTTTAGAGTGTTAGACATCAAGGATCTTTCTATGCTGGTTTGAGAAAAAAATCTGCTAAAACAGGAAGTAATAGAGAAAAAAGAAATCTATAAATAAAGTCTGACAGTTAGAGATTATCAGGACTAATCATGGCACACAAATCTTCCTGTGAAAATGTGACCTCGAAAAATAAATCAGCCTCATTATGCCGGAAATCATTTAGCTGGCAGAAGAGTGCTAAGCTTCCCACAGTTTAAGCATGTGCAGCTAAAAACAGCCCAAGGTTTCCTGCTAAAAACTCTGCAAGCTCTCCATTTCCTGCCCGCTCTTTGCTTGCATGACGACAGCTTTACGTTTTTCTCGACCGAAGGCAAGTTTCGAAAAAACAACAACAAAAGAGCACCTCTGCTTGATCAAACTTGCAAAACAGAAATATATATTTTTTTAAATCATACTCAAGCACCAGAATTCTATTTTTTTAATACAAGTATAAAAATGGAAAATCTATTGAAGATTCCTTGAGGGTTTTTCAGTGAGAGGTATCAGAGTAAATCCACATATTTCAGATTTTTCTTGTAGAGGAATGTTAAAACTTATGCATCACTTCCTTACACAGTTATGTACCTAGTATGCATAAAAACAAAGTTGATTATTAGCAAATGCTTCATTAATCAGGTACCCTAGACATGATCAATAAGGAAGAACTGTTTGAAGGTGAAGGAATTCAAACAGAATACCACAAAATATCTGGTTTGCTCATTAATTTCCTGATGAAACAGAAGCTTTTTAAATTAAAGAAAAGATATTTAAAAAAGAGAAGAAAAAGATTTTATTTATTATCTATTCATTGGTATGATAATTGATTCTGGGAACACAAAAGGCCTTTTCTGAATCCCCTGAAGATCTTGACAGCTCACTGGCTGGTAAACAGAAAACACTTGTGTGTAATCAGAACACGCTTTCTTCCAAGATTGCCGTTGTCATCTGAATGGCTTTTGGGACACTGCAAAAGTCTAATTCAGAATTTCCTGCTACTTTGTTAACCTAAAGAAAACACATTGATGTTTGAGGTTGTTATGACAAAATATTAAACACAGTACAGCTGCACAGAACCTCAACTCTTTCCGGTCAAGGTTGGACTTCAGGATCCGCCAGACTTTTCACATTCCTGTCAAATACGCAAATCTGATAACAAAGTGACTATGTCAAATCACCATCTAGGTTATTTTTAAACAGACAATCCAAAAGGAGATGGGATTTACTGACCAGCATGTAATAATTTCATGTCTTATCAAATCAGTCATATGAAAAGGAGTAGTTATATTAATGCGTATCTAATATAGCTATTTGTGAAATAACAGCCAGAATTAGCTGTTGAGGATCAGAAGTCGGTTAAGTGAAATGCTTAGAACATTCAAAGCATGCAAGAAAAACAACAACAACAACAACAAAAAAACGAATTCTGCCGCTCTGCTGTCGGCGCTGCGTGTTGACATCACCGTCTCATTACGGCTCCGCCTCCGCACTCTGCTGATGCTCATCCGCCACTTGCATCAGCACCATTTCTGGCATCCTCATTAGGCAGACGCGCAGAGAGAGCCGACCCACCTCGCCGGAGCGGAGAGAGAGGCGTGAGACCTGTCACCACAGCATCCCGAACAGACAGCCCACGGTCCGGTCCGGAGGCCCCAGAACCAGCTGAAGAGGAAGCCGTCGCAACGCACAGCGAGCCCACTCTTAGTAATGGAGAGCCTGTTGGATAATCCGATGAAAGCCGTTCTGTACCTGAAGGAACTCACCACTATCGTCCAGAACCAGCAGAGCCTGATCCAGACGCAGCGCCAACGCATCGACGAACTCGAGCGGAAGGTGGAGGACCTGATCGGGGAGAACCGACAGCTGCGGGACCCCCACCTCTACGTCCAGCAGCCGCCCTCTCAGCATCACCACCACCACCAGCACCACCACCACCACCCGACTCAGCGGAGCGCCAGTCCCCAAGCGCCGGCCCACCTCCATCAGCACCCGGTCAGCGCCACCAAGGCAGCGGCTCACATCGGCCAGCAGCTGCCGCCGCCGCCTCAGCAGCAGCAGCTGCAGCCGCCTCCTCCTCAGCAACAGCAAATTATCCATCAGACACCCCAGCCTCAGCAGCAACATCCGACTCCCCCTCCGCCGTCTTCCCACCACCCGCAGCAGCTGCAGCTCGTTCCGACCTCGCCGCAGTCATCCCAAGTGAGCAAAGCCGCCTCCGAGTCCGCCGAGGACGACAAGAGGAGCGCCTGCTGCAAGTCTCTGGTTCCGCAGACTCCAAGCACCCTGTGCCGCTCGGTTGGACTGGCCAGGAAGGCAGAGTGAGTAGCTCTTATGTGTTGTGCACAAGCCAGGTGTAACGAAAAGGAGTCCGCTTTCTGATTTATTAGCAACTGGACGGAGCTGCTAATAATCGGATGAGCTGGAAAAATTGTACATTAGTGCAGCAGAAGATTTCATAGCTTATTTTATAGCAAGATATAGATGTCATGATCAAGTTTACTCTTTTGTTGTCCATAATGCATGGAGTAGCTTTCAGATTGTCTAAAGTGTAAGAAAAACATAACATCCTCCAATTTCTCTTTCTGGTTTGAGATCCTCTTCTGTTTACACAACACTCCTCTGTTAAACAAGTTGCATACTCGGTATTGGTTGTGAAAATGCATGCCAAATATTTTACATAAATGTTTTATGAAAAAAAAACTTGCAGAAAAAAGTTTTTTTTTTCCCTTTTATGATTTTGCAGAAAATTTTCAGTCCAGATTTCTTATGCTCTCTTTTTCTAGTTCAAGCCACTCAACTAGAAATGATTTGAAAACTAATCTGTCTAGCTGTTCATAGAAAGGGATGACAACGCAAATAGACTTCTGAAAAAACAGCAACAACAACAAAAGAATAACACAAACAACCTCAAGCAAAAAGTTCATTGGGTATTTTATAGAGCTGCATTACACAGACCTCATCAAGACACCATCATAGAAATGTTCCAGAGAATCTTCAAGTGCCTGATGGAAGCAATGAGCGCTAAGACAGAAAGACATTAGCAGCTGTTCACGTGTCGCGGCGGCGACCTCAGAAGACAGAGAAGTTGAAACCACTTGGGTTGCAATTTTTCGAAATGCCAAACATCCAGTCTCAATTCATTTATTGCCAGGAAGCAGTGCAGATTCATTTGTTAGCTACAGAGACAGTAGCAAAATTAAGGGAATGCTTGTGTGTTGTATTCAAGCCCCTATGCTCTAATGCTCCTAAATACAATTTAGTTGATATAGATCATATATAGAGTGCTTTTGTTTGTATTAGATTGAAGTTCATCTAAATATTAAGATATTTCTACAAGCTTTATTGTTATTTTTTTTAATCTGGTGAGATTTGTGGTTTTCAAAGTGTAAGAATGTTCTTGATTGCTGGTGTGTGAGCCTCAGAACTCTCCATGGTGCAGAATGTTCTTTGCCTCTATCAAGGTCACATGAATCGCCTCAGCCAGAACCACAAACACACACGCACACACGCGCACACACACACTCGCATCATGCAGTGTTCCAAGCCACGTCTGTTTCACTCAGCCGCATTTGCATTGTTTCCGTTAATCCGCATCAATTTATTGAGCTATTGAATTGTAATTCCTAAAGAGTGAGGGTCAGAAATGGGGCATGAAGGCAGGCACAGCCGGATGATGAATTCAAACAAAAAGGTACAGAGATGTAAAATAAATGTCAGAAGGAGGACTGTCTAGGTTCTTTAAAAAAATAAAAATAAAAAGCAATTTGACAGCTCTGAGGGATGATGAACAATGAGACGGAGAGAGAGGGATAGTCTCAAGCAGCCCTGCAGAACATACCCTAATGTAAAAGCAGTGACAAAAGAAACACTGGAGATGCGATGAAGCTTCATCATTTTCCACACACAGCACTGATCTGGTTATGACAAGATAGTAAGTCACTGCAGGCAAGAAGTGATGCTTTCCTCTTCAAGGTGGGGCAGCGGGAGACACGAGGACGCAATGTAAACTCACTAATCAGGCATGCGTGTTCATTTGACTTTGCCATGGATTTTTTGGATTTTCCCTTCGCTGGAGAATCACTGCAATGAGCAGCTCATTAAAAATGTATGCGAGCTGGTAAAGAACACGTTTTCTGCAATCCTCCCCGCTGTAGGTTGCGTCTAATAAATGTAATTTTTGCTGGAGAAAAAGAGCGAAGGAACAACTCGACCATCAAACATAAACCCAAAGAAATCAAAGGTATGGGTAAAAAAACCCAACAAAAAACACTGTTTTTACCCAGTTATTATTAATTCAAGTGACTCTACTGATTTGATAAGTTTCATACAACACATTTACGTTTGGAATATTGCAATCTACATTTTTTGCTGATAAGAATTTCATGTGGTTTGTATGTGTTCAGTAATGAGCTTTGAAAATTGAAGTCCAGGAAATATTTCAATTTCTTCATTTTGTATTGCATTTATTCTTGAGTGCTGTGTGTTTCACTTCAAGACTATAATTCCACTTTTTATTGCGTCTCATAAGTTTTTCTCTTCCATTAGTTGATCAAAACTTGCTTACGACCAAACAATGTTGCATCATGAGCAAAGTGAGTTTATTTTTATATTTTTCTTTTACTGTACTTGGTTGAAAATGTACAAATTAAATAACTTGGGCTCCAGTTTAGAACCTTGTGGAACTCCTGAAGTGATTGTCAACAAATCTCAACTTCCATTATTTAGTTGCACATAATGAAACCTTTCAGAAAGTTAGTTTTGAACAAAGTGTATGATCCATCATAAAATTTAATAATGTACCACCAATTCATTTACTCCCATTGATCTTTTTGTTTTGAAGCCATACTGACAATTTCAGTGCAACAATCAGCTGTGTTGCACAATGTGAATGTTGCAGGCAGTTGGTGCTTGATATTGCCAATATGCATGTCTAATTACAAATGCAATCAAACATTCCACAGTTAGTCTTTTATATTTAATAGATATTCCATATTTAGACTCTGGTTGGCGATAGACGTATAAAAAGACAGATTTGAAAATTGGAAATGAAGAGCAACTGGCTTATCTCCAATTTTGTTGAAAGCTGAAAGATTGTCTATTTTTACGCTGAAAATATCACACAGCAAAGTCAGATTACGCTAAGTAAGAGAATACGGGTATGAACAAAAGTAATGCTTCATCATAATGATTTCAGCATCATTTTTCTACACCAACTACACATTTTTTATTTAATTAAGAAGGAGCACAGCATCCATTTGCAGAGCTCCAAATGAAAAATTAAAAGCTTGCTCATGCCCATCACACATTCATCAACTTCAGCAGTGGCATAATTTGGAGAATGCAAATCAAGGCTTGCCTCCAGCTCTGAGTAGTTGTTTACTGGAACGAGGCAAAACTTTCCCCCTCCGAAAAAAAGGAAGAGACGTCTGAAGTGTTGCAATTGCGTTATTCAGTCTGATAAGGATTCTGAAAAGGCTCCGTTTATCTGAAGCAAGTTGCCACCAATCCCATCTTCCCTTCTTTATCACCCCACTAATTCTGCATGTTCTTCCAGAAACATCACGTTCGCTTTTCCAATTTTGACTTTTGATTATCTGCCTCCATGTTACAGTGATGTTTTTTTTTTGGTTTTTTCTCAATGTCTTTTTTATTCAAACCCGTTGCCCTTTCCACCTCCATTTTGTCCTTTCCTTCATCATCTAAGTGCTACAAGCACCAGCTGTGGGGTCTGAATCAGTGTCTCTTACCGTTTTCTCTTTTTTTTTTTTTTACCAATTAACCAGTCTCTGGTCTGAAGCCCTTAGACCTGTGTACGTTTTTTAGAGCTGCCAAGTGTAAAACTCAGCATGTGAGAGCTGAGCCATGTGTTCAGGAGAGTGACAGTAATTGTACAAGAGGTAGAGGCATGCGAGCGTCTGATATGCAGCAATCTCGCTGCCTGAGGTGGAAATCCCAGCATTCCCTTGCAGCTGCGGGTGACTTTCTGCTGCTGCTAACTCCTACACGCTCTTGTTATGATGTTAAGCTCTTGTTCTCACAAAAATGCATGCAAACTGTTAACAGGGCACATGCCAGCTGGCGACCAGCCCGTTTTCCTCCACACGAGTTGTGACTCCCTCTGCACCCCACATGCCCTCTTTCTTACTTCTGAATGCCTGAAAACCCTGTTTTTGGAAAGCAGAATGTGCAGCAGCTCCTCTGCCATTTGCTTCACGCACCTGTTTTCTTCAAAGGATGTGCAGTAGCTGCCGGTAGATGAGGAAGTTCAGCAAATGCAAATCTTAACACCTATTGCGACTCACTCCCGAATGGTGCAGAGGCAAAATGATTAGATCCTCTCAGATCAGTGGTAAAGTTTAGATCGTGAGCTACTATAAACAGCAGGCATTCAGAAGATCATTTCTATCAATAGATCAGCAGCGCATTAAAACACCTTAAAAAGTGTTTAGGTCCCAGTTACTTTTACATTTTGTCACATTACAAACATATTTTTTTTGAAAGGTTTTGAAATTTTTAACTAAAAATCTGTAAGGGTCAGATACCAGGTACATGCAAGAGTATGAATCTAAATATTCCTTTAGATTCCTTAGGAAATGCTGCACAGCTCTGCTTTGTGTTAGTCCATAAAATATAAATCCCTTTAAAATACGTTGGGTTCTGTAACATTGTCATTTTGTCGATTCCTTTAGCAAGGACAAACACCTGCGAGGGTTTAGGTCTGGGCAAAACGTTCACAGTCCATGGTCTGCAGGGAAAGACCTGACTCACAAGTTGGAAAAAGACGGCTGAAGAACTTACTGAACTTTTAGCTGCTGCAGGCCCGCATGATAAATATTCATGAAAAATGTGGCAGACTGGGGCAAAAGAATGACTAGGGACATCAAATTATCAGGTGCAAAGCAATCCACGCAGAATATATACCGAGGGAGGAGATAGCATGTAACAGAAGCAGGAATGACAATCAGCAAAGGTCAGGTGTGAGACAGCAGTGGTCGGAGACGCAACAGAAGTGAACAATAAACTGGCAAAGTGACACCAGGAAGTAGCCAGAATACAGAACAATTTCAAGAACTGGCTTAACTTGGAAGAATGAGCATATCTTACCAAAAGAATGCAAGTCATTCTGGGTGCTGAAGCAGGATCAAAGTGCTGACTGGAACTCAGGAGCGGCATTGCGATCAGGATTTAAAGACAAAAATAAGGGAAAACTTGCAGGTTTGGCACGAGGAAAACAGAACATGGAATTAAGTGCAAACGTAGGATCTAGCGATGAAAAATGTTAACTAAAGGAAGCTAAAAACTGAGTTGGGATCGTAAT